ACAAATGGTCTTGCTGTGTTCTGACAATGTAATGGCTGACAACTTACTTGGTGTTCAATTTCAGAGAAACTTATCCATGCTGACCTTGATGACCGTGCACTGGATGCACTCAAGGAGTTTCCAGTGGATGGAGCATTGACTGTTCTGAAGCAGTTCATGGACTCAAACCTGGAGCATGTGTCCAACAAATCTGCTTATCTCTGCGGGGTAATGAAGACCTATCGACAAAAGAGCAAGGCACAAGGTTAGTTCATATAAGGATGGGTAAAACCATTATTGAGAACATCATTGATAAAACACATGATGTCTGTTGTTCTGATGGCTCAGTTTGTGAGAATGCCAACCTTCCAATTCACCCACCAGCTGCAGGGTGAGTTCAAGTTGCTTTAGGCGCTCACTATTTTCCTGCGACGTGTGGCTGGTGGCAGCTGGCTGGTGGCAGCGGCCGTGATAAAGGTCAGATGACGGCGTAGGGCAGGACCGGATGGTGCCGAGTGTTGCAGCACATTAGGCTTTCGCCATGTGAGTTCTGCGGTTGACACGGAACTGCTTGGTCGGATGGTAGGGGTCAGGGCTGACACAACAGGCACTGCCTAGCGTGAGCTCTGATTCCAGGAATCCATCCACTCAAAAGGGTTGGATTAAATTTTAAAAGAAGAAACCAGGTGGTCCTTGGGACATCAGATGTCACCATGAGATTTGGTGGGCTGTTCAATCAGGTGCAACAATGGAGTGTTAGGCTGAGCTACACATCTGTGAGATAGTGTCCAAGGCCATAGAGCAATGACCTGGGGTGATGTATGAATGTCAGACTGAAAAGTGAACATGCCTGGCTTTTTCTCCGGAGCTTGCAGCGCAGGGGTAATTTCTGTGGCTCATTTTTAATTTATTAATGACAGACTGCAGCAGTCAGATTCCACAGACTTCTTTATGGTAAGAATAGATGACTGACCTAAAATGACCTGGGCCAACATTGTATTGTTGGAAGTATCACCTGGCATAGTTCTTGATGCCTATTGAAATGCAGAAATCAAACCAATTTGCAGGATTTTGGCTGCCATGACCTTAAGGTCACTGAAATGAACACCAGTGACCTTTTGCTTAGGAGAGGTTTCTAGATTCTGGGCAGATGCATGAGGCTGGGGGCACTCTGGACCAATTTGGAATTTGACATTGTTTGACCTTTTTTATGTTGATGTCATGACCTAGAAATCCGAAATTTTGACTCAGATAAGTCCACCTGGATGCCAACCTCAACCCTGTGAATTAGTTGTATCACTCCTCGTGTTTTAGGTGGGGGGGGGGGGGGGGGGGGGAATTGACGTCCCTCCACCCAAGCAAAGGATATTCAACCAGGCACCTGCTTGCATGATAGTTCTTATTTAATCAATCGATTTTTTAGCACATTTTCATGTATTTTGATCTTGATGTGCAGCACATACAGCTGCATGAACATCTCCATGATATAGCCTCGCCTGCTACGTGAGAGGTCATGAACATAACATCGTGGTCACCAGATCATTAACATATTAAGACCCTAACCAGAATGGCAGCTGCACTGATATAGAACGCAGTTAATGGGTAATGTCAGGATATGGTTGGTGGGGAGGTTCACCACGTTCTGCACGTTGTTTGTATTATGACTCCGGACACTCGTGTCGCGCCCGTTTGCCGAGCGTTTTGCGGACTGGCGGAGGCTGAATGGTGTAAGGGCTTTCAGCCCTCCGGAACTCCGTCGCATCGAATACCAAACGGGGTGTCGGAAAAGTTGAGATTGAGGTGAAAGATTGAGTTTTCCAAATGTCATGTCTTGCAAGTTATGCGCTGGGAGCATACTGTCGCTCCATGCGGGGATCCGCGGCCTGGCTAACATAAGGTCAGACTCACGTTTCAACAGGTGGTGCCAGGATAAAATGCAACCTTCTTCGGGTGACTGTGTACTTCCACTGTCGGCTTTGATAGTGTGTAGGTTAAAAAAAACACGTAGGTTTGAAAAACCCCGACCTTGATTTTACAGTCAAACTTAGGCATCGTGGCGTGCGGTGCCACATAACAGTGAACTGCTCAAATCAGCATTGTCACATATTTTGTTGAATTTTACAATAGCCACCATGCACCATGAGTCTGAGCTGTGCGTGTCGCTGAAAGTCAGGTATTCGGTATGATCGTCGTTACTGCTTGCTGTCAGGTCATGCTCCAGAGGGGGTTTAGTTTCTGTGATTGTTATGTTTTGTTGCAGGCCCAGCCTACCCTGCCACTCATGGCCCAGATGAAGACAAGATCAAGGCGATTCTCGATCGCACTGGCTTTACCCTGGATGTCACTACTGGCCAGAGGAAGTATGGGGGTCCCCCACCAAACTGGGAGGGGAAGCAGCCAGGCTCCGGTTGTGAGGCATTTGTTGGAAAGATCCCCAAGGAGCTGTTTGAAGACGAGCTCATTCCACTCTTCGAGAAGTGCGGAGATATCTGGGACCTCAGACTGATGATGGATCCGATGAGCGGCCAGAACAGAGGCTATGCCTTCGTTACATTCACCAACGAAGAAGGTGCAAGGGAGGCTGTGAAACAGGTATGTACAATGCACTTTTGGTTGCATGAGAGGAGATGTATGGCCCAGGATGGGTATGCAGTTTCAATCCAGGAGATTGGATTCAATTAGTATGCTTCAAATGTGCTACTGTTGGCAATGTATAGAAAACCTCAGGTCATGTTGGTTTCGTTTTATACTGAATTGGTTTTTGTGCCAGATCTTCTCTTTGCCGCAGTGGCTGGTAATCAAGGTGGAAAATTTGCGTGTCAATGCTGTTTGTGATCTGCACAGAAAATTTTGTTGAGGTTGCTATTTGTGGTGAGGTTGCTGCGTGTTTCTATTAATTTTTCGGCATTTCTCGTTCCACAGCTCGACAATTACGAGATCAAAAAGGGGAAGACACTCAAAGTCAATATCAGTGTACCCAATCTGCGCCTTTTCGTGGGAAACATTCCTAAATCTAAGGGCAAAGAGGAGATCCTGGAAGAGTTTGGCAAACACACAGGTAAATTTATTTAGGGATTGCTTTGTTTCTGTTCACGAAATTGAGTTTGGTTTCATTTACAGCACTGATAAGAAGCAATGCGCTCCCTGGTGTGCTTCTTTCCCCGCCCGCGCTCACAGGGCATATTAATACGACTGGAACGTGTGATGTGACGGAACGGTGCCGTGTGACCCCGAATGCGTTGTACCCCCGAATGTAAATCCGTCCAATTCTTCGCTCGTCGTAGACCGGGTTGACAAACTACGATGCAATGCTGTGAGGTGTTGAAGGCGATTTTTCGATTTTTTGTGGGGGATTGAAGTCAGTGCTTATGTAAACGTCACATTGACGTAATTCAGCGGCTTGCACGCCCGTTACTATAAATGGGACTTTCCGGTAATGGTAGATTAGGGAAACAATGTACATGACTGCCTTCCCCATTCTGTTCAGTCCCTTGCTGTCTATAGAAGCATATTTGGCAGATCACCCTGTCATGAAATTGTTTTAGTAGGTGTTAATGTCCCAGCCCATCACTGATGTGTCCCCTGACTCATGGCCACTTGCTGTGGTAAACCAATATCAATTAAGGTTGGTCAATAATTCTGTTTTCCTCAGTGCTACCTGTGCTGGCGTCGTACTTTCATGGTGGCGAGCTGCGCTAATTAACAACATAATGCAGGCTTGTGGCACCATCAGTTGTAATACAGGCGCGGATACGTTGTTTCATGAGCCACAAGGTGCTAAGGCGCAATGTCGTGTGGTCTGATTCGCATGTACCGTGACTAGTATTTGTGAAAAATGCTGACATCCGGGAATGGTATTTAGAACTGCTTGCTGCAGCTGGAGCATCATCTAACTGATGGACAATTGTGTTACCTCAGAGGGCCTGGTGGATGTCATCATCTACAGCTCTCCTGATGACAAGAAGAAAAACCGGGGGTTCTGTTTCCTGGAGTATGAGACGCACAAGGCGGCCTCTCTGGCCAAACGGCGTCTGGGGAGTGGAAGAATCAAGGTCTGGAGCTGTGACGTGATCGTTGACTGGGCTGACCCCCAGGAGGAGCCGGACAAGGAGACCATGGCCAAGGTACGTCTGGCGTCGGATAGTTTAAACGTAATTGTCATTGAACCTGTTCTGATTTCTCGCCGCTGCCCTGCAGATTAGCGGTTTCCCTTACTTCAGCGCCCCTTTGTCGGTGTTAATGTCGGAACTAGCGCGGCGGCACTCGCGTACCGTCATTCCCAGCGCCTATTTGGCGTTGGCGATATATGTTGCAACCCGACGGTGGAGACGAGTGAATTTTGATACATGCTTTGTAGGAGATAATCAATAGTATTGGCTTAGTAGGATGGAGTTCATTGTCAGTAAGGGTAGAATGGCCTCTTAGCCAACGCGCTTGCAAGCACTGAATAGCACGGTATTGGGATGGTTACAGCATTTACCACCCTTGATCTGTAGAGAATACGCTGGACCGATTTTCCAGCAGCGCTGGGTACGAGTTCCCGCGGAGGGCGTCCTGTGTGACTGGATTGACCGGCGTGTCAGCTGGCAGCTAGGTTACGGGGCTCAACCTGGGCTCGGGGCGGCCATGCAGTAGCATGGTGTGGCGCACGCGAAACCCTCTACAGTCGTGTATAGATAAGCGCATGCACAATCATCCATTGGACATTGGGTGGCACAACTTTGATGATCGGTTCTGGTTACATGCTACAAGCTGCTTGCCTTGCTTTGCTGTGAAGTCAGTTTGAAGGTGCCACGGCGAACAATTAAGATTAAGAAAAGTGGTTACAAACAGGTGGTACGTGTTCACCTGGCCATGAGTAGTTGGAATCGGTCTTAGTGTAAGGTTTTTGCTGGCCGTTTCCTTTCATATTTTTGAGGACTTAAGATATGTATGGAACTGCCAGTGGTTCAAACATTTTAAAAAAAATTTCTGTTGTGATGTGCACATAGAATTTGTTGCACAGCTCTTGCTCAGGCATTGTCCGGCGATGATTATAGATACCGCGGCGATTATTATGAATACCACTACTGTACGACACTCGAAGACATGTATCCACGTGACAGGTGCTGTCGTTTGGGGCTGGACTCGAAAGGAATGTCTGTCTGGCATGTCCACAGCATATCAAGCATGTTCTAACTACAGCTGTAGTCAGGACTACAGAATGGGTTTGGTCTTGTGTGATGATCATATATGTCTTTTTTGCGTGGCATGCGGAGCCAGTCAAACAGTTCTTTTTACATGTCATGCGGATCGGGTCAAATATTTCTTTTTCGCGTGCCATGCAGAGCCAGTGCTGTCCAGTGGGAGGACAGCAGAGCGTTGTGCTCTGTCAGTTATGATGATTGTATCTGTGTTCTCAATGACACCAATAGTTGAGTCCGGTATGTATTTCCCCAGGTCAAGGTTCTGTATGCTAGAAACCTCACCCAAGAGTGCACGGAGGAGAAGCTGAAGGAGGCTTTTGAAGCACATGGGAAGATTGAACGGGTGAAAAAGATCAAGGACTACGCATTCATCCACTTCGAAGAAAGGGAGAACGCGTTGAAGGTTGGTCCAGCTAGTGGGGCGGATTGGCGCATGCTGCTTCTTTGGGTTTCTTGTGTCCGGAAGACTACAAGTTTCTCTTTTTTCTAGGCAGCAATTTAACGCATGTTCTTCGAAAGAGAAACAAAAACACTCCAGCGGCGTGGCAGTAAACCTCCAAACGGGTCTAACGCCTCGTATTAAATGTCATATCCATAATATAGATGCCGTTACAGCGGACTCGCATTTTGCAGGACCTCTGCGTTTGCGTAAGCCTAAAGTACATCACTAGAAAAGCGTGAAGGATGCTGGCAAATGGAGAGGTCCAAAATGAAGGCATTTCTGGTTGCATCCGTCTGAACCTTTCGCGGTTACCAACATGTCAGTCGACCCGGCCCGTCCCCGGAAAGACTGCTTTTACTCTGTGATCAGATGCTTGCCGACCTCGCCAGCCGCCCATCGAGCGGTTGTAGGACGTACCACTTCGGCTAAATACTGGCCCGACCACAAGTCGAACCACATTGGACTGTTGTAATTTGATTCATGGTACCGTGTCGGATCAAGTTGTTCCACAGCTTCTGTTTCCATGACTGCACACTAGTAGCAAAGCATCGGAGCCAAAAAGTCGACTGTTGGATGCGTTCCAAACTTCATTTCTAGTTTAAATTGCTTCCTTGTAATATTTATGAAAGTTGGGGCAAGAATGTCGAGCACTATTACGTAAGATACGTAGGGCTGCCGTGAGAAGTCCTCATTTTGTACCGCTTGTCTAATCCTGCGATTTAAGAAGCTGACGGCTCATCTTATTTCACTGCTATAGCTGTTCCCCGTGGACGGATGTTTGCTTCATTCGCCTATCACCTGCGTGCTCCGCGCGCACCTGCGTATCCATTTGATGCGATGCTTTTTATGGAAGGCGAACAGGTCGTTTCCTTTCAAAGGAGATAGGAAACAGGTAATGATTGATATGCCTGTTTACAGTGATGTGGAAGGAAGACGTGATATTTTCCTCAGGCACCTAACGTAAAAATAGCGCAAAATTAACGTGCTCAGGTGTGCAAAGTGATTACTCTGGTGTTCTCAGTTGTAACGTAAGTCGCTGGGCCTGTCAGTAGAGTTTGACAAACAGGCCATGTGAAGCTAGTCGCCATAGAATCATGGAGGATCCCGGGAAACGGTCCCGTGACCGTTACCTTGTGGCGGGCAGCTGAGCCGCGCACATATTTGTGGTCGGTGACAGCGACTGAACAGCAAGGAGGAAAGGTGCGCGCCGGTACAAGGCGTGCAAAAATATGAGTTTTCAGCTGTTTTTTTTTTTAGTCTGTATTCTGGGTATATGAGGCTGAGACCGTATTTATCACTATTCCATAACTTTCATGTAGATGATAACCCGGTATGATTCAGGGTGTTTCCTCCATCCAAATAACGCGAGCGGATGCTTGTATGGCTCCATATAGGAGGGCTGCGTGCCAGAGAAGCTCTTATAAACAACTACTGGCCGCAACGCTCATGCCAACTACTGTGGGACGAATTCGGTGAACACGCTATCGCTTCAAGTAGTACTTTATGACGGAGGCTGCGAAGACAGACCCTGTGAACCACGCCCTATAAATGTATTTGTGTTGGGCCACCATTCCCTACGTCATTTTTAACTACGTAGTTTGCCTTTCACGTAATGCTGGACTGTTTTATGGTCGTACAAGTCAGCTACTTGCTTAGGTTCGTTGTGTAACGCTTAATTTTTCAGCAGAATATGTTTCCGGTAAAGATATGAGCGGGGAATTCGCGTGAGGCCTCTCCTCAACGTAAAATGAATAGGCCTGTTACAGTGGGTCCACTTCTGTTGCCTCGCAGGCAATGGAGAGTCTGAACCAGTCGGAGCTGTGCGGGTCAACTATCGATGTGTCGCTGGCGAAGCCACCGTCTGACAAGAAGAAAAAGGAAGAAATGCTCCGGAACCGGGAGAAGAGAATGATGAACATGATGTCTCAGCGAGGGTGAGCTGAAATGTTCTGGGATCTGCTCTTGTATCGGGATGGTCTGCGTCCGGTAACGTTAAGTACCGGCGTTGGCATTGTTCCGTCGAGCACCCCGTTTACGGCACTCTGACTGGCTGTGCGGCTGGTTGGTACATTTGTGTCGTCGATGAAGTTAAAGTGAAAGATGCACACTAGTGCCAGCTGTCTGCTTGCTGTCTGTGCCTCGGGATTCCAGTGAATTTGAACCAGAACAGCCTTACATGATATTCTATATATTGTTTAAAGGGAGCGCTCCACATTTGCATGGACTTTTGCATTAGCCCTGGTCACTGTGCGGTCCACAGCGCAGTTCACAGCGCCTTTGTCTGCTCAGAGTAATATATCGAGATTTAAAAGCTATTGGCAAAGGGCTGTCGGTTGGATGAGCTGGCCTGCCACATTCCCGCTGTCCTCGAAAAGGGTTGAACGTCTGTTGCATGAGGCGAGGATGACATTGTTCTAGAGGACTTTGAACCCCAACGGTATTTTGGGAGCACCTGCCGTAAGGTTGGTTTTAGCTGACCTTGCTACAGTTCAGCAATTAACCGTGATGGGGTTTTCCTTCAAGGTTCCCGATGTTTGCACCGGGCTTCGGTGGAGGCCACCGTGGCTATGCGCGTGGTATGGGTGGTGGCCGGCCACCGATGGGCCGTGGAGACTACGGTAAGTTCTCTGGATATGACTGCTACGCGGAAAACTACTGGTATTACTAACAATCAACGGCGATAACCCCTGTGTATGGGTCCAATGTACTCCAGTGACGCGACACGGACAACTGCTGGCATGAATAACGTCCGGTGGTATCCTGTGAATCGATCCAATGCTCGTCATTGACATCCTTTGTGAACCGATCCTGTGAATGCAGAGGTGTTATTAATTCGACGTGTGCTGTATGTGCGGTGTTTGCGTCACCGGGGTCTTTCAAACTGTTGGAATGCTACCGTTTATGTAATGGTTCTGGCGAGGCTGAATAACCACATGACATTGTGAAGCATGTGTATTGTGCATTGAATTTACTGTACAAAACGGTCGAATTTGTGTTCTGGATACTTGTGATGATTTAAGTTCAAGTGATGCAATAAATGTCACAATATCGTGTCCGATGGTTTACCTTTTCCATCATGAATCCTGCCAGCCGAATCACAACTTCTGAAACACTTCTCCATTTCCCCTGGATCCTACCATCTACGTATCGCTACTTGGTGAGAATTTATACTTTCCTCTCTTAATGTCGCTCACACTATGACTGGCTTTTTCTGGACCTCTCTTTTCCTTCGTGTGACTGATTGACAAAATCGATGCGTTTTGCTCCATTATGAACATGTGGAACAAAATTTATGCCTGTTTCGTATGTGGCACGCAGGTGGTAACATTTGCTATTGGTCTTTCTAGATGTCGATTATGATTACGATTACGACATGTACGGATATGGAGATTATCGAGGTGGCTACAGCGATCCATATTACGACGAGTACTCTAACGACGATTATTATTACGATTATCCGGCAAGCTCTCCGGCTCCCCGTGGAAGGGGCAAACCTCCAATGGTGGGTGCTCTTTAATTTTTGGCCTGTTACTAAATTCATCCTAAATTGCTGCAAAATGTGTAGTATTAGATACATGGTGTCTGTATTAGCTACATATACATTTTTTGATATTTTGTCCTTGATCGAAATATTCGCGAGCGTTGCATCGGTAAAAGCATGTTACTGTTCGTAGCCATGTTTGAGTCTTGGTTTAGTTGTGAACCCGAAGCTGTCAAAATGGTAAGAAAATTGTCATCGCCAGTCATGGTGCCCTTTCCGTTTCCTGGTCCCCGACCTCTACAGCAAAGGCTCACGTGGCAACGGCTGTGGTGGTCGCATGACCGCTCCAAAAACCTGCCGCTAAGTGACCCGCTTCTGTTTTCAGGCTGGCCGTTCCCGTGGGGTTATGGGGCCTCGTGGGCGCGGCGGTGGCCCGGTGCCGCTTCGTGGGACTCCTATGGCCAGGGGTACAGCAACTGGTCGTGGAATGGCCAGGGGCATGCGCCGTGGGGTGGGCAGAGGGGTCGCCAGGGGAGCAGGCTTACCAGGTTAGCAACATACATTCAGGTCGCGCCGTTCAAAGTCAGTTCCGTATGTGAGCTGTGGAGTGCATTTGCGGGAAGCATTATTCACATAGAAGACAATTGTAATAGCCTTATTCCTCGGTGAACAAACCAGGAGAATGAAGATATAGATGAGTTGATATTTCAGTAGCGCTTTTGTCGAACCAAAGCAAAAATGAATAAAAAACTACGTCCAAAATTGATGTCCAAAATGTGTTTAATTCACTTCTGCTTTTGTTTCGATAAAAGTGTGTTACCAAAATAGCAACCCATCTTTATCCCCATTCTCGTTTTTTTATCCGAGAAAGGAGTATATTACTGCTGCCTCGGTTCTGTATGGATTGAAGCTCAGTCACAAAGTATTTGCGTTATGGACTTGGGCCTTAGGTAATGTTCATTTCACCTTACAAACTGTACGTGCGTGCGGCCCCAGCAATCGGCTTGCTGTAAACCTCAGTAAGCAATTGGCAGCAGGGGCATCTCGTTTCCAGGCCATAATCCATTGTGCGTTAGTTGAAACCTGCATGAGCGATGAGTCAAGCTTTTGATTGACTTTCAGGTAAGAGGAAGTTCGATGGAGGACATCAAATCCAGGGGGAGTATAAACGGCGCCAACCAAACAGCAACTGGGGAAGCAATCCCATACCGCAGCAGCCACTGCACAACAACGGCTACCGGGGCCGCGGCAATCACGAGTTCTACATGGACTCGTACGGCGAGCATTGGTAGCGGGGCAGTGTGCTCGCGGAGTTCGTCACTTCCGCCTCGAGGTCGGCGTCATCGGACATCAACAGTGAGCAGCGAGCCGGCTCAGCTCAGGGTTCGTGCGACCAGATCTCAAGCGAGTGAACGAAGTGACAACAGAAGACGGCGTCCTGGTCGGGGAGACCGGCGACCGGAAACCAAGCATTGAGACTGTCCATCGACAGAGTGGCCATTCCATCTCTAGGCCGGATCATCTTAAGTGATCGCCATTTGGTATAAACGTCAGAACATTTTCACTTCAAAAAGCGCTCACTGAAGCAGGCTCCTGTACTGGGTTTGTTGTTCTGAAGAAAGGAATCCCCATTTCTAGGTAGTGCAGTCGTGGAAACAACGGGATTTTGGTTCTTGTTGGCGTCCATCGCGCTTCAGCTGCGATATTGTTTCACGTGTGCTGTGTTGCCGTGCGCTGTCCAACCGTCATGCATTTGAACTGTACATAATGTGTATGCGTGCTCAGTGCCCTTTACTATACTTGTCGCTTACGTGGTGTCTTGCGGCCGCTAGCTGATTGATTCGAGACGTCTTTTTTGGCCTGGTTTCTCTTTCCGGACTCTGCCGCTGGCTACAGATGCGATTTTTACCTTTAGAACGTTATCGACACCGAGAACTATTTCTTTCATATGGGAGAGAATACATCGGGCACACGGTGTTGTTTGTGTCGGTTGCAGTTTGCCAAGCGTCATCTGCCTTCCATGAACGCCGAGGTTGCTCTTCGCGCTGTGGGCTCCCAATTGCCGAGCTTCGTGGTTACGCAGGGAAGAAAGGGCTGCGGATCGTAGCGAGACAGCTGGTTTCCTGCTGGCATGTGATGAGAAGGTGGAGTTGTAACTGAGAGTGCCTAGTGCAGAACGAGATGAAGTATGAATATGAGTATCGTAGTGTAATAAGTATCCTCACTTCAGACCTGGCGTCGGGTAAGCAGTTGTGAGTGCGCCGTCGCTCTGGTGAAGACCCCATCCATCAAATTTGTGTGAAGATGGTGACGGGATGCCACACGTCTATTGCGTTATCGCAAAAACGCAGGCGCCAGCAATTTCCGGTACGGGGTCTGTTATTCAGGAAAGAATGCAAACTCATCCGTGCAATGTGCAATTTGTGTCGTTTCACACTTAATTCAAGTTGTATTTGTGTCACGTTTTCATATGGACGTGAGAGACGCATCGGTCGGCGTGGCGGGTAATATCCTGAGCCTCGTCAAGCAAGCCATGGAGGGCTCGGGACGCCCGGTAAATCACCCAGGCAATGTGGGCGCTCCGCGTCAGATGGCGGGGGTGCACTGTTGGTCGCGCCGATTAGTGGGTACGGGGACGGTGGCAGTCCGGCAATAATGACTCACTTGGTTATGAGCCTAGCTCGGGATGCTCCTGCCTGACGCCCGCTCCTGACGAAGTGCAGTGACAGCTCAGGCGCATTAGCATGGTGGGACGCAGCAGCCCCGTATCGATCTCGCGCAGAAGGGGAGACTGCGACGCGCCGTTCAGCGTTTGTTGTCTGCTCGCGTGCTGGGTTTGACAATCGTACTAATATCAGAGTACTGAATGAGGGGAGCGGTGGCGGTGGTGGTGGTGGGGGCGTAAAGCGGTGATCGTCAACGTACCATAAACCGAGATAGCCATTTGAGTCTGTATCAGGGCTGACAGCTATGCATTTCGGCAATGGCTTATCTCACTCGGCATCGATCGGTTCGCCGTCCTTGTTCAGTCTCCCAGCGTACAGTAGCCAACAGCTCCGGTGAGGAACTGACTGCTATCCTGGGCTGTCGTCATCGGCCCAGAAGTCCCGGCCCCGCCCCCCCCCCCCACGGCGTTTCATTTTCCGCCCCTTTCCAACAGCCTCGGGATGGTCACACCCTAACCCTTTCTTATCGCATTATCTGCCGCTTTCCTTACCTTTTCCTCTGGTCGGTGAGACGCAGCCAACGGACAGGCCCTGGCCCATGCGCTGTTTTCTGCTGGTGCCTGGCGCTGCCTAGAGCGGAAGGTCCCAGTTGTCGGTGGTTCGAGCGCCCGTAGGACGCGTAAATCGTCCAAACGGGCCGTAAAGCATAACCAGCATCCCGAGCCTAAAACGTTCCCGGATTCAAAAAATAGAGCCACTAAGCGATGATTGAAGGGACCCTCTAGTATGAAAGGAAACCCTGGACCCAATTTCATCCCCCCTGCGCGCAATCCTGACTGGGCTTGTGCCTCTGATTCCTCTTTCACCGGGACGAGAAACGCTTTCCAGTCGCTCCTGATATCTTCGGAATAACGTGAAGTAGTTACGTTTGGACGCGTTCTTTCAATGTGAACAAACAGCCGCTTCCTCGAAGCAAATCGTCCCACCACCACAGCGAACATCCTCGAGTTGAATAACAACGGGCCTAGGATGTTTTCTGTTCAGAAATTCATGTGGTGCTCTGCCAGACATCGGCAGCGTCCAATGCCGCCGTGCGTATCGATCTGATAAGGGTGCGCCTGCGCCGGGCCGACGCCACGAGACCGTAGGGGGCCGTGGCCTGGCCACAGCGGGCAGACCGTGGTTGGCTAGGCACGAGAGCGGGGTACCGTCCAGCTGCAGCGGACAGACTGGCAGACTGAGCACGAGGCCGCCAGCGTACCGGGCACAGTGGGCAGACGGCGGCGGAGGTCGGACTAACGCCCGTCTGTCAGCGCAAACCAGAGCCGTAAGTAGCTAAGCACGGGTCGGCGCAGGCAGTCCGACTGGGAGGATCCAAGTGTGCGGACTGCGGGCGTCAGTCAACACTCGCGTTCAGTCACTGCGTGCCTTCGACGTAGTCAGTACGTGCCCTTCGCGTCCAGTCACTGCGTGCCTTCCGCGTAGTCGACGTGCGCCTTTCGCGTTAAGTCTGTGCGTGCCTTCCATGTAAAGTCAACGCGTGCATTTCGCGTCAGGCCAATGCATGCTTTCCGCGTAAAGTCGATGCGTGCCTTCCGCGCGCCTTCCGCGGAAATCAGGCCACGCGTAAACCTCCGCGGAAGTTGTGCGAGCCTTTCCATTCGGATGTGCGTATGCCGTGATGTCATTTCACGCACGTCGTCACTCGGTTTCGGAATCGAGATGCTCAGCGTCACACCGAAGTGAAAGCCTTGGGGCGGCGAGTACCTATCCGGCGGAAGCAGCACCCCATTTGTGGCCTGATTCTGCCATTGAAATATGTGCATTCTGCATCTCACCTCTTTGATCCATTTACATCACCCCTCGCGCGGTCCCTAGTGTGGTCTAATGGGAATCAACATGTAGGTGCTTGATATAAGCTAGGAAGGCATTGCTCTGGTTTCGACATCATGGGTTCAGAATTCTCATCTCGACTGTTGTCGATTTCCGATGTGACAGAAGGTACGAGTTAAACAACTCGTCATATTGTCAGCAATCCACGTTTCAAGTTGTGCTTTGATGACGAATTATACCATGATGACTCGTAATCATTCTACATCATGATCATTATAAGACACTTGCACAGCTTGAAACGCCGATAATTGACAGCATGAGCCATGTTTGCTTGATAGCGTCGTTAGTCAGTAGACAACCCTGACATATTGAGGATCGATAACTGTTAGCGTAAGAATTCCGAGCTCATTCAGTGTACTTGGTGAGGCCCTGTTCTTGAGGTCAGTTTCAGTGGGCAGCTGAGGGTTAATGAACCCTGTCTCGCGAAACAACAAACCAGACACTAAGTTACGTGTTAATGTTGCATGGAGGGTTCTGTAGAGCGCCGCCTTTCTGTACACCACACCGTCAGCGTGACAGGCGATCCATCAAGAGTCGGGGACCCTCGCCCCCCCCCCCCCCCCCCCTCCCCCGTCGGCGGAACCCATCAGCGGCGGCGCCACTCCCCGCAGCGTCAGGTCGACGCCGCGCTGGTAAGGCGCACCGCGCGTGTTGCAGGCTGAAGCGGGCGTCGCCCGGCGGGCCCGGCCGGTCCCGGCCAGCATGCCATGAAGAAGCAGAACATCCGCACGCTCTCGCTGATCGTCTGCACGCTCACCTACCTGCTGGTGGGTGCGGCCGTGTTCGACTCGCTCGAGTCGGAGCACGAGGTGCGCACGCTCCATCTGCTGACCAGTGAGTACCGTCGTGTGGGCTGCCGCCCCGGAAAAGAAAGGCCAAATCGCTTCCTGTTACCAATTACGAGTACTTGTGGCCCATGCGAGGATGGGTCTGTCCTGAAACTGATGCGACCGTGCAGCCCGTTTGAAGTAATCAATCTTTCAGATGTGTGTGATAAAGTGAGTCATTTTGCGCAACCGCTACCTAGACCCAATTTGGTAATCATCTCAATGAATAAGTGGATTCATTTTACCGGTACAATCAGATGCGATTTACGTATTTCTTCTTTGGAGCAGTGACGCAGGCAGAGACAGGTACGCCTGGTTAACCATCAGATTATGCGTGATGTTCCCATCCCTCTCAAAATGGTTTCCGCAACCGTATCTCCACAGAAACAGCGCCCTGCCGCTATGGAACAGACTGAAATCACTAGATCCCTGAGTCCACTGCCACAATTTCATAGTGAAAACAGGCGGAGCCGAGTTCATCGTTGTGATTCTACCGTCCGAGACTGTCTGGGTATGACCCCGATCTCCATCCGGTTCCGCGGAGATGTTGTGGATGACAAATCTAGAAGAAAAAAATCCTGGCATGCTTTCAGACAAGACTGTCACCTGAGACACGCACACCTCGTCAAAAGATGTCATCTGAGACACGCACACCTCGTCAAAAGAGGCCCGACATGCTCATCGGTCTGGCCCACATTGGTAATCAGACACCCTCTCCCGTCAATATTTCTCAGCGTCTCGGTCATTTCGCGCTCCCCTACTGCCTGACAGCTTTTTGACAGTAGCTCGAAAAACATGGGTTTCAAAAACGCTGAGTCAAGGACTCAAGTGTGTTCGGCTCAAGGTAGATCACATGTATGTGCGACTGAAGCTTGCTGACTCACCGCCCGCCGGCTGACACGTGCGATTGAAGTTTGCTGACCCACCGCCTGCCAGTTATCGAGGTGCATCCTCTAAACTTCCTACATAAATTCACAGTACTGGCCAACTCCCGGGTCTCCCCCCCCCCCCCTCCGTGTCCTCTCAAGCGTGGCGTCTGTCTAATGGTACTTCGTCACGCGGACCAGATTTCCTCTTCTCGGAGGTCCCGAATGCACCTATCACCAAATCCAGGGGGCCGGATGCTGGAAACCAGCCTGAGGACGAAGCATGTACTTTCTATATTTTTGTTGTTACGACAGGGCTAACCCGGCGGTTAGTAACATGGAAGTATTAATCATCCTCAATCCTAACGACATAATAACGATATCATAATGAAAAGTTCCTTGAAAAACTTTCGCGCGTCCCAGGTAGGATCTTATGGGGTCAGCGTTGGCGCCACCATGTGGAATATTAACCAGGTAGGTATTTTGGAGAGCAATGTAGCGGTGTCTCCCCTCGTGTAGTTGGAAGTGTCGACTGGACCAGTGCCCCTATTCATGCCGCACGACCAGGGTTTGTCTTTGCTAAAGCCAACGATGCCCGTCTGAAAATCAAACAGCCTATGAGATAAAACCAAACAATTTTACAACGTCATTCGCCCACATGCAACGGCACGCGCTCTCCCCCTCGCTGGCTGTGTCCCTCAGATCCATTGATCGGTGTTTTCCTCTGACCGCATGCGGTGCTACAGACATGAGCTACATGATCAGGAGTAAGTACAACATCTCCGACGACGACTACCAGATCGTGGAAACGGTGGTCACCAAGTCGGCGCCGTTCGGGGCCGGCAACCAGTGGAAGTTCTCCGGAGCCTTCTACTACGCCATCACGGTGCTTACCACCATAGGTAACGACGAAGGGGAATTGGCACAAAAGTAATGTCCAGTCCCGATGGGATAATGAGCAGCATTTGTTTTACCTCGGAGAACTGTCAACTCCCCGCGATGGTCCGTAACCAAGGAGGATATGGGGAGTCTGGCCGCCGTAGACACGTCATTGAAAAGTTCACGCCTCGTTCATCAGCATGTTCATTTACATACGTTAACGTTACTCCTTACCGAACAAACCGTAGAAAATCATCTCGCTCATCATCTGATTCAAGGCGTGGACATCGGCGTTCATGCACTGTTACAAAGCGTTTGGAAACGGATAGGTGGTGCGGTGCGAGGCATCCGTTCTGGCGTTTTCTGCCCAGTTAACTGAATCCGTCTGTCCCTTTCCATGACCGGTCAGGTTCGCCTCATTCTGTGACCAACAGAACCCGTGCCTGACCGTTCCGTCCCGCTCGCCCCGATTCCCGCTCTGTGGCCGGCGGGGCCCGTCTCTGACTCCCTCTCTATGACCGGCTGGGCCCGTCTCTGACTCCTGCTATATGACCACCGGAGCCCGTCCCTGACTCCCGCTATATGACCGCCGAAGCACGTCTCTGACTCCCGCTCTATGACCGCCGGAGCACGTCTCTGACTCCTGCTCTGTGGCCGGCAGCGCCCGTCTCTGACTCTCGCTCTGTGCCCGGTGGGGCCCGTCTCTGACTCCCGCTCTATGACCGCCGGAGCCCGTCTCTGACTCCCGCTCTATGACCGCCGTAGCACGTCTCTGACTCCCGCTTTATGACCGCCGGAGCACGTCTCTGACTCCTGCTCTGTGGTCGGCAGCGCCCGTCTCTGACTCCCGCTCTATGGCCGCCGGAGCCCGTCTCTGACTCCCGCTCTGTGGCCGGCAGCGCCCGTCCCTGACTCCCGCTATATGGCCGCAGGAGCCCGTCTCTGACTCCCGCTCTATGACCGCCGGAGCACGTCTCTGACTCCTGCTCTGTGGCCGGCAGCGTCCGTCTCTGACTCCCGCTCTGTGCCCGGTGGGGCCCGTCTCTGACTCCCGCTATATGACCGCCGGAGCCCGTCTCTGACTCCCGCTCTATGACCGCCGGAGCACGTCTCTGACTCCCGCTCTATGAGCGCCGGAGCACGTCTCTGACTCCTGCTCTGTGGCCGGCAGCGCCCGTCTCTGACTCCCGCTCTGTGACCGCAGGAGCCCGTCTCTGACTCCCGCTCTATGACCGCCGGAGCACGTCTCTGACTCCCGCTCTATGACCGCCGGAGCACGTCTATGACTCCTGCTCTGTGGCCGGCAGCGCCCGTCTCTGACTCCCGCCCTATGACCGCCGGAGCACGTCTATGACTCCTGCTCTGGCCGGCAGCGCCCGTCCCTGACTCCCGTTCTGTGACCGGCAGCGCTCGTCCCTGACTCCCGCTCTGTGGCCGGCAGCGCCCGTCCCTGACTCTCGCTCTGTGGCCGGCAGCGCCCGTCCCTGACTCCCGCTCTGTGACCGGCGGGGCCCGTCCCTGACTCCCGCTCTGTGACCGGTGGGGCCCGTCCCTGACTCCCGCTCTGTGACCGCAGGATACGGGCACTCGACGCCGCGAACCGTGGGCGGTAAAGTCTTCACCATGTGCTACGCGCTGGCCGGCATCCCGCTGGGCCTGGTGATGTTCCAGAGCATCGGCGACCGCGTCAACCGCGCCAGCTCCATCGTGATCCGCTGCGTGAAGCGGCTGCTGAAGTGTAGCTCGCAGGAGGCGTCCGAGCTGAACCTCATCTGCGCCGTGTTCACGCTCAGTGTGCTTGTGATCACGGGCGGCGCGGCCGCCTTCAGCCGCGAGGAGGGCTGGACCTACTTCGATTCGGTGTACTACTGCTTCATCACGCTCACCACCATCGGCTTCGGCGACATGGTGGCGCTGCAGCAGGACAACGCGCTCAACCGGCGCCCTGACTACGTGGTGTTCGCGCTCGTGTTCATCCTGTTCGGACTGGCGGTGGTGGCGGCCAGTCTGAACCTGCTCGTGCTGCGCTTCGTCACCATGAACACGGAGGACGAGAAGCGTGACGAGGCCGAAGCGCTGCAGGTGAGGCAGGCAGCCCTGAAACGCCCGGAGCTCCCAGAGTTCACGTGGCGTGTAAATGTAGGCACCACGGCCCAAAGCACACGCCGCCGCCGGTCCAATTTGGCCGCGGCGCCCGTCAGTCCCCCCAGGATCGATTTCATCCTACGGCCTGCAAGCATAATACCTCCGGCTTAGGAGCTTGCCTGTCGTCTTTTCGTGGGCTCTAGGGTTCTTTGTTCTCGCCAACCCAAGGGCGTTCGGGTTTATCCTAGCTTTGCTTGATAAATAGACAGAGGCAATTTCCTGTGGTGGGCTGTTGGCCCAAAAAATTACGCTAAGCGGAGCACGGAAAAAGGACGCAAACAACTGTTACTCAAAACAGTTAACGTCACGTGTTCCAACTAAACTTAGTGCAGTGTCTACTCGCGCTATTGGATAGTGTAGCACACAATCACGCAGTCACATACTGCCAGAATCAAGCGGGTAAACATGTCAGCTTCTATTTGCTCCTGTTCCTACAGCCAAGTTTGCTATACCTGCCGCCTCCGGGTCGCCTGCACGCCTGTGGCTTGCGTGACCAGCACCCTCCGCCGCCATCACGCCACTCATGTCCCGCAGGCGGCACAGGAGACGGTGCAGCTCGAGGGTGACGTCATCACAGCCCGCGGCGCCAGTCTGGTGACGCGCGAGCACCGCGCCTCGCTCGGTGACGTCACCAGCGTGTGCAGCTGCCGCTGCGCGTCCTGCTGGCCACCGCTGCCCTTGCCGGGCAACAGGTGAGCTGCCGCTGTCACGGGCTCGTCCCCGCTAAACCGCCTGCGCGCCCGGCAACATCAGTGGTGACGCAAGTCACGGGCTCGCCGGACAGGGCGGTCACGGCGAGCGCGCACTCTCTCTACAAGCGGAGCAGAAACAACCCATAACTGATCACGTGGATGGATTCAAAGATCAGCAGCAGTTCGAGAGGCAACACGAGGATTGAAGGCGCTACGCGAACAGCTGAGAAATGACAAGATGCTGGTCTATACGTGTTACGTTACTCAGGTGTCGCTTTTTGCGTTGAAAAAACAAAGGCAACGAATTTTGCGCGGCAGCAACATCCACAGAAGCCTTTCAAACGGAATCCATCGTTTCGGAGAACGCCCGCACAAAACGGAGCGAAAAAATAACGCTTCCGACCTGCTGAAATGCTATCGATTTTGATCCTGGGGGAAGTTCGCGGCTGCTCGTTACCCGCAGCCTTTACCGAATCAATACGGGCGATCCTGCTGCGGCTCGTGGCCCGGCCGCGACAGCACCGCCGATAGCACGTAAATTCCGGACTCACACCGAAAACAACCAAAACGAGAACTCATCCTAGCAGAAGCCGAGCTTTGTCCGCGCTAGACTGGTGTCCATCCGTCCACCCGAGTTCCTGATGATCTCGGTGCCCAAATCTTCCGACAGCTTATTTTTAATCGGGGGCACGGTCACGACCGGGACGGCCATTCATTGGTGGACGCTGTTTGCAAGCAGGCTTAGACACCCTTCAACGCTGGGATGCTGATTAAGGGCACCGTACCCATCGTGCTACTTTCACAGAGGCTATTCTTTTATCGTAATGGTTCTTGGTTTACGCCAGATCTGAACGATAGCGCGCCCGGACTGAATAAAGTGGGACGTTAATCAACGTCTCCACAGGGATGTGGTAACCGCAACACCACTGCCCACCAAGAACCACATGCCAGCATCGCGAGACACCATTGCTCCGTGAAATGTTCTGTGTGCGCGCTGTTGCCTGCCGGTAAAACACCGGTAATGCACCGGTAATGCCGCGGTAATGTGCCGGGAAGACACCGGGCCATTGTCGGTCCGTGCGGCGTCCCGTGACGTATGTCGCCCTCCTCCCTCCCCACAGGCGAGGCACCAGCAGCCGCTCGTCGCGGCACTCGCGCCGCCTGCTGTCCAGGACCGACACCCTGGAGACGCCCAGTCCGACGGTGGAGGAACTGCTGACCGCTTGCCGGCCCCGCCTCAGTGGCGCCGCCAAGCGGGGCTCCGTGTAACCAGCCAGCGTCGGGCCGAGGTCGGCCGCGCCCCGGGCCCGGGTCGGGACCGCTGCCGGTCAGACACGGGAGTCGGGAGCGGCGGCGGGGCCGTCGGTCAGCCGCGCAGGCCAGGGCTCAAATCCGGGTGGCGAGGCGGTCCGGCCGGGCGGAGCGCGGATGTGGGGACGTGGCGGCACGCCCCCCCCCCCCCCAGGTCTCGTGGAGTTCAGCGTTAGCCCGCGCTGGTAAATGGAGATAACTCGCTGCTGAAAAATGGGCTGTCCCTCACTTTTGGGGATAATCCTATGCCCTTTGGACAGGAGCCACAAGGAGGCCGGTGGCATCAGGAGGCCGGAGGCCATCCGTCAGCAGAGCTTCATCACCCCGGCTCAGTGGGACGCACGTGCACTTGAGGACCGGCCGTGGGGTAATCAGACTGTCCCTGCCTGGCTCCTGTCTTTGCTCCGGGGATAGCTGGCGGGATAGCTGGCGGCGGCGCTTCTCGAGGCCTTGCTAGCGCGGCGGGAGAGGTCACCAAGGCGCCACGTTGAGCGCGGGCTGTTAAGTGGCGTTATTGCCATGTGACGCCGAGTAGTGCTGAAGCAGGCGGACTTCAGTAGACGATGTGACGGGGGCCGGACGCATGCGCCAGTCCCAAGTGTCTTTGTCGATTGTACAATGTTTGGCGTTTTTTCATCAGATGCAGATCCGCTAGGCAGAAGACAGTTGTATTACTAATAAAATAGTACCAAACACCTGTTGGGTTCAGAGCTGATGGCTGTGAAACTGAATTGAAACGGAATGCTTCACAGCTAAATATATCGAAGCAAACATCAGATATGACGAAATAAGCTCACGCATAACTATTGGCATGCTTTCAAGTGGAAAAGACTGCTGTAGACAGCACGACTCTCTGTTAAGTAAATATGCCCCTCTTTACGTCATGGTTTGATTGCACCATCGCACCTTGCACAGCATTGGTTAAAGCCACATGACGGCCACTCTATCTGGAAATTGCACTCACCAACGCCATATATAAACGAATCGACAATTGTATTTTTTGGTCTTGATTGCCGTATGCCTTATAGAATGGCAAGAGTTAAATGACGTTATAATGACGTCATGAGTGCTCAGGTGACTTTGAAATACTCTCCTCGATATACCTTTCCCCATTTTTGCGGGCCTGAAAATGGATGCTCAGAAACTTAAAGTGCTTAGGTCTTAAGAACAGGATTGTGAACAGCACCGAAAGGTCTTCAGATCGCTATTTCAGTACAAAACCTCACAGAAATGTTGACTACTCGCTTGGTCCCTTGAGGGAAGGTTCGTGGTGGATTTGTCGGCAGATCACCCAACAACGAAACTTTGTCTTGCATCCGTGCCCGCATTTCCAGACCTCATTCGTGACTTGTGTGCTTAAATCTGTTATCAGCTGAAAGGTCAATGACATTCTGAGATGCTTACCCCTTGGCAGAGGACCAGACCTTGTGCATCACGACGTTCGAACGTGCCTCAAGGACCTCTAAATCGAGAGACAGATTCGGAATACAACTGGGACTCCACCTGCTATACACGGTCGAGGCCCGACTGGGACTTCACCTCCTACACACATTCGGGGTCCGACTGGGACTCCACCTGCCACACACGGTCGAGGTCCGACTGGGACTCCACCTGCCACACCCGGTCGAGGTCCGACTGGGACTCCATCTGCCACACACGGTCGGGATCAGACTGGGACTTCACCTCCTACACACGGTCGGAACCAGACTGGGACTCCACCTGCCACAAAAGGTCGGGATCAGACTGGGACTCCACCTGCCACAAAAGGTAGGGGTCAGCCTGGGACTCCACCTGCCACACACGGTCGGGATCATACTGGGACTCCACCTGCCACACACGGTCGGGATCAGACTGGGACTCCACCTGCCACACAAGGTCGGGATCAGGCTGGGACTCCACCTGCCACGTTAATGGTGTGACGCCCGGTTGGCTGGCGGTCGTCTCCACCGTAGAAGAGCCTCAGCATCCCACATCCCGGAAAATGAGCAGCGAAACATAGCAATTATATTCGATCAAAACGATGCTGAACGCAACACATTAGATCAACCTCCGTTGGATTGATAGATGAATAGATCACGCCCTGTCAACAGTCAGGACAATCACTGTGCTGGCTGCCATTTCACTGCTCTTCCCCCTAACGCTAGAGACGACCTGCACGGGCCATCCGCCCCACCGCCGTGCGAGTCCCTGGCCCCACATTACATTTCAGTATTGGATTGTATGAACCGTATTAGCATGCACGCAGGTCCTTCGGGATGGAGCATTACATGTGGAATGACGCCCTCCGAGAAAGTAATGTTTCCCTTAGGAGCCATAGCAGCCAAAGGCAATGTCGCCCCACCATCTAGCTAATCAAGTTGTGATGGCGCATAGTAGCATAATGTCACGCACTTCTAGCCCCTGCCTGATGACTATCAAGGTGGTGCCTTATAGTTACGACGCGCAATTGCCGCAGGTCATGTCAGTTTTCCAGAGTATCAACACCAACATTTTACGCAACAATTCAACCATCAATGTTGCTTGGAGCGGAAGGTACATGAAAGGAACATCGATTACACCCATAAATAGGGCATATAAGTAGTTCATACATCTACCTTAATGACAAAATGATCTTATCATCGGGCTTCGGCTGTCGGAACCCAACAAAACTTTCGTCACCACAGACGGCTGCCACCTAAGGCACTAGTGAAAGCAAAGTGGAAGTGGATGTGGTGAAGGTGCTGATAACGTCAGCAGTGACTTGCTTCGGTCACTGACAACACAGTGAAAACAGCACGGTGAAAAACAACAACAGCAGGAGTATATACTGGGCATGCGGTAGAGAGTCCGCTGATCGACCGCCGCGCCAGGCGCTCCAGCCGGCCATGCACCGACGGCTTCCGTCTGGGCTGCGGTCGGTCGGCGCCGGGGGCGGCGGCCTCACGGCGGGGTCCGCTGGCCGGCCGTCCCCGACGACACGACAGTCCAGGACTCCCTCACTGACCGGCGTGTTCGGCCGTCCTTGAAGACACGGCAGTCCGGGACTCTCACTGACCGGCCCGGACCGGACCGGCGCGGAGGCTCGACCGGGACGGCAACGGCAGCTTCTCCAAACGGCAACGCCGCTGGGAAGCATGGCCATGGGATCACGCGTGCCGTAGTGGGACAGCTGCAGAACGGACAGCGGACACCGAGCTCCGCTTGGGACGCGGGGTCACGAGCGAGGCGAGAGTTGCGTGGCGACGTCACACTCCCGACGACTGTCGACAAGCCAACCGGCATTCAACATCCTGTCGCACAAAAGCCAACCAAACAGTCCGTTCACGACCGTTCTTCGGAAGTACTCTGGAAACATGCTCACGCTAGGCAAAAAATCATGCGATTTGTCATTTGTGCTCGAGAGCTGCAATCATGCAACTTAAATTGATAGATATTATAAATGCCTTTTTTGGAAGCTTCTGCACCTCTCACGTATGATACCGCGCTCCTGGCATCCCACGATCTCTAAGTACCAAGCGCAGTACTTTCCAGTTTACTCATCTCTATTTCTCCCTTAGGATAGGTTGTTAACATGGTTCTTCCGGAGCCAAGCAACAACAATAACATAGTTCATGCTCGTTCTTACCTCTTATGCGGATAGGATCATGTGGGCGGCTCAGAGATCTAGAAAACTGCTCCACACATCGCTCGCACAGGCCACACAAATCCCATCGCAGCATTGAACTAGGTGGTCTCGCTAGTGGCTATACTCCACGTAAGCGAAGACGTCACCATTTTTTGCTACCATAACAAACATTTTCAACTCAGTGCATGTAGCAACACCCAGCCAGTGCCTGCCTATTGGCGTTGCCTGGGCGGTTACCGTCCTTACCCCACACAAGATCTGGTTATATCGCGGTCTCCCCTTCCCCCGAAAGCTCTCGGATCCCCTCCCTTGGAGAAAGTCGCCCGCCTGATGCGGAGCGCCTGCTCCACCGAGTCCCGGTCATATAAACAGCCCAGCGCAGCGCGCACAACATGGCTGGTTATTCCCCTTACGGAAGTAATTTGTGCAAGCAATCTGTGAACGATACAATGGGCACACAGTTCCGCTCCCATCTGGAACACAGTGATTAATCTTCCTGACCCTAACCGGGACGCAATTACTTTCCAATCTTTCCCCGCTGAAATGCTGCCGTGATGACTTTAAGCGTCGGAAGTGGACCTGACTTGCCGTGGTGTGTTGGGCAAAGTCGTGGACGTTCGCGGGGCGGATGCCGGCAGCCGGGCCGGATATTTGACTCGGCATCAGCCGGCGCTCTGACCGCTGCGTGACATCGGTCCAGCCCCGCGCGGGCCCGTCCGGTCTGGTCCGGTCCAATAGCGTGTCCGTCGGACCAGGACCCATTCTGCGGCGTGTGACAGCATGTGACGGCATGTGACGGCATGTGACGGCAGAGTGCTCCACGTCATTCCCTGCGTACTCTGGCCGGACGGGAGCGGCTCGGCTATGTGAGCTCGCCACTGCGGATCATTTGTGCGCTGGGGTACGTTCGCTCTCACTTCTACACTGTAGCAAGCTTGCCTGGAAGAAATGGTTACTAATTTCACATCAGTTTACCCACAGCGACGGAACAGTTACACATTTGAGGAAGACATCGAATTATGCAGCGGTCAGGCAGGGGCGTCATCAAAAGTAAGCTGGAGAAGATACGCGGACTACTTGATCATACATGTACGTTACACAGTATAGATCACTTTGCGCCGCGCTGGTCCCATGCACTTGACACTGGGCATGACGACGTGGGTTCCGATTATCACGTTCATGGCAAAGTAGCGTCACATGCTCTAATGAATCAATAGCCCATTAGGATAATTTTTCCCGAGTCGAAACGGGGGTGGTAAACTATTTGCCTTGTCGGTAGAATACGAATACAGTATCTTGCAATATGCCAGGAAACTATACCAGATTTCATATAATGCCCTGTCAGATAATATCAAAGCTAATTTCCGAATGTAAGCCTGCCTGTCCGTCGTATATTTCTTTAGCCAGACGCGCGTCACGGACGGCTGGGGGATAGCCGTGAGATCTGCACATGCGACGGCATCAAGCTTGGTGGCGGCCCACGGCCTACATTCACACATGTACCACACCAGCATCGGCCACAGCGCACGCAGGATGGGGTGAGTTTTGGCATCTAGTCGGGTATTAACCAGAAGCAGCAAAGACGACTAGCTGTGTGTCTACCATGGAGCCATTACATTTTGAATAAGTTGCTACTCTGCGATCATCCGCTCCGTAGCGAAGAGTAACATAACTCTGATTAGTGTGAGGACTTCGAGCGCACGGCAGAGTTCGTGACACCGCGTGTGGCACCCGCTAGGCACGCCGCTCATTTACAGCGGCTGCAGCTCTGGCCGGCTGATGAAAGTGCTCTGTTTCCGCACCCAACACACCGTCATTACCCGCCCGTGTATTATCTCACGCGACCGCAAGCGTGCAGACACAGCACCGTGCGAAATATATTCCTCGACACTCTCGTGGCTAACAGCAACGCGCCACCCAGTAAGACCGGCCCCGGTCACGCGGCGTACGTCCGTCGCGACCCCAGGTCGACCCGCAGAACCGTCTCAGCGGACTCAGAACAGCTGGCGGCACATGGGGCAGGTGCTCTTGCTGCTCGTGTTGAACCATTTGTACTGCGGACGGAGGCGGCCGGGTGACACCAGGTGAGTCCAACAGACGGCCAGGTGACACCGGGTGATTCGGACAGGGTGACACTGGATGAGTCACGAGAGGTGGCCGGGTGACACCGGCTGAATCGAGCAGGGGGCTGTGACACCGGGGGGTTTGGACAGGTGACACTGGGTGAGTCACGTGTGGTGACCGGGCAACACCGGCTTATTTGCACATAGTGGCACTGGGCGAGTCACACGAGGTAACCAAGTGACGCCGGCTTATTTGGACATGGTGGCACTGGGTGAGTCACAAGAGGTAGCCGGGTAACGTCGGACCAGAGGCGTTATACCACGTAACACGGCGACGCCAGCCCGGTGGTGCACACAGACATAGATACCACGGCACACCACCGCAGATCCCCTTCCCGGCTGGACCAGTACACTTCGTAAGCGCACGCGTGCATGTCACGTGATCATTAAGATACAGCGCCCCTTTGGACCGCTCAGCTATGAGCGGAGCCGGCTGATAGCGTGACGTCGACCGCGATTATCGAGCCGTGTCCGCACATGCAGCGAAGCACACAACAAACGGCCGACGGGCCGGCAGTTTATGGCGGCGTGCAGCAGCCACGTGTCCGAAGACGCGAGCGGAAATGACCGTACTGCACCACAACCTCACATCCATAACATCGGATCATGATCCATATTGTAGTCGCTAATGCCAATGACGCACAGGCACTGCAGCGTCCAGGCTCATATGTCCGCGTGACTCAGCCAGGTCTAGGTAAGCCAGCCGGAAACGGCTCCTACATCGTGTTCGAACCACACACATATACAAATACATATCAGTACAATATCTGGCTTGCCATGTATTATATGGGTTTAACTATATATATATATATATATATATATATATATATATATATACACATATATATAAGATTACTACACTAGGTGGATTAATTTCGAATGTGTCATATGCTTCCAACGGTAGTTCCATACAGAGTTCGCTCGCAAGCAGCATTGTGGCATTGACTCTATTTCATTGCGATGCTCGGAAGCCGAGAATGCATCAAAACAGTCATCAGCTTACATTGGCCACTCCAAGACCAAAAGTTCCCTACTGTCCTGATCACGCGATTCAGTGAGACCTGAAGGCGGCGTAGGCACGTAACCTTGTCACGCGTCTGGCGCCGTCAGGACCAGAAACGTATGCTGAATTTGGCGGCCTCAAAACGTACCACACGACAGGGAAGGTGGTGATGTCGAATGTCACACAAATTCCACAACTCTCGTGCTTTCTGTGCAGAGCGAAGTGAAGCAAACATGACAAGAACAACAAATTAGCAAAAAAGTAAAATAAACCAGCCACCACAAGTGAATGCATGCTAGTGTTTGATATTCACCTCGAGCATATCAAGCATATGCAATGCTTAAATCCTCATACCCGTGTATCAGTGTTTGATGCACCCTTGGACAACGGCGTACGAAGCATCGCAACCCCGCGCAATGCCCCGCGAAGGTGCCGCTTCGCAGCCGCGTCCTCGCCAGCGCAACTCACCAGACACGCGGGGTGGAAGCGTTTCTTGCAGTTGCGGCAGGCCAGCTTCGGCAGCTGGTAGTTGCTGCCGTGCAGCACATAGAAGCAGATGTTGCACTCCTCCACACCCTGGAAGCGCTTGTCGATGTTCTGTTTCCAGAGAAGTAGACCGTCCAGAACGCTGCCGTTCTGAAAGGACACGCGTTCAGACAAAGCAGAGATATGCGCGACTGTCAGGTTCCAACTCGGAACGCGCGGACATCCACACCCCGCTCTCCGACGCTCTTAATCGAAGAGCAACACGTGGGCAGTGGCTAGTGATAGAAGACCTCAGCAACAGAGCGTTTCAACTTGGTCATCATGATTATCCACCCACTTGCACAGTTGTGATACTATGAAGTTAGACTGGCTTACCACAGAGCCAACATCAAACTTAAGTTCGGATGATAGCAAATTCAAAATAACGGCTATCTATATCATAACATGTTCATCACAAGCCACCCTATCATAGCTCCGCCCAGCGTAACCCACGATACCAGCCTTCACACATCCCATCACAGACAATGGAGCAAACTGATTCACCCCATCGTCAGAATCTCCAAACATCTGTCCACAGGCAGTCCCAAACCACCCGTCCCCACGACGCGCCCTCTGAGTCTACCCGTCCCCGCGGCACGCCCTCTGAGTCTACCCGTCCCCGCGGCACGCCCTCTGAATCCACCCGTCCCCGCGGCACGCCCTCTGAGCCCAGCCGTCCCCACGGCACACCCTCTGAGTCCACTCGTCCCCGCGGCACGCCCTCTGAGTCCAGCCGTCCCCACGGCACGCCCTCTGAGTCCAGCCGTCCCCACGGCACGCCCGGCCCGCGCGCCACTCACCTGGTGCGTGAGGAAGGTGGTGAGCTGGAGCATCCACATGCGCCACTGTCCAGCGGCCACGCCAACGCGCCGGCCGGCAGCGTCTGCCACAACGTGGCCGAGCGGGTAGTCGGTCGGCAGCTTGACCACTAGCTCGGTGCTGACCTCCTCCATGGCGTACACGGCCGACACCTCGCGCACGGAGGGGCGCGCCCGCACCTGCCGCACGGCGGGGCACGTACAGCCGGCCGACCCGAGCGACGGCGCTTCATGCGTGGTGCACGGCAGGCGCCGAGCGGCGGCGACGGGCGCGCGGAGAGGTGCCGCGGGAGATAAGGGGATGAAAGAGGCGCAGGCAGAGACGCGAGAGATGATCCCGCGGATGCTCTCTTTGGGAACAGGGGGAAGAGAGACACATTGGAATGGCAACACTGGTCAATTTGTCCTCAGCACCAAGGGAAAAGGAGCGCGAACGACACTGGGGACCAACACCGCGTTCTGCATAGCACAAATAAGAAAACAACACTACTGCGAACACCGCCACTTCTGTACCTGCGTGTGCTTCCGAGAAAGCCGACCCTGCCGGACACATCAATGCACGCAGAGGACCGCGAGCATCGCACGCCAGCTAAGAAAGCCTTCCAGCTCACCCCAATCAGCCATCGTTACTGGACCCCTCCGGTGAACGCCGCCGGCCGGCAGCGATCCGCTGTCCCCTCCAGCGAGCGCCGCCGGCCGGAGGCGGTCCGCGGTCCCCTCCAGCGAGCGCCGCCGACCGGCAGCGGTCCGCCGTCCCCGCCAGTGAGCGCCGCCGGAAGGCGGCGGTCCGTGGTCCCCTCCAGCGACCGCCGCCGGCCGGCAGTGGTCCGCTGTCCCCTCCGGGGTCCGCCGCCGCTCACCGTCATATTGTCGATGGCCTTGTCGGCGGCCTGCAGGCGGCCGAACTCCTCGGCCAGCAGCAGCGGACTGACGTGGTCAGCCGTGAGCCGCTCCACACGCAGCGCCAGCGCCCGCTCGCAGCTCGAGCGCCAGGAGCGGGCCAGTACCGGCAGCTGACGCAGGAGCTCGGCGTACGTCCTGCACGCCCAGTGGTGCACCTCCTCGGCCGAGCCGGACCCTGCAGACATGGGGAGGTCACAGATGGAGCCGGACCCTGCAGACATGGGGAGATCACAGGCGGAGCAGGACCCTACAGACAGGGGGAGGTCACAGGTGGAGCCAGACCCCGCAGACAGGGGAGGTCACAGGTGGAGCCAGACCCTGCAGACATGGGGAGGTCACAGGTGGAGCCGGACCCTGCAGAGGGGGGGGGGGGGGGGGTCACAGAGCCGCGACCTGCGCACGTAGATGGCCAACGCTGTGGACGGGTGTGGGTCACCGAAAGGGGATCTGAGGATAAGCAGGACCTGCTGACAGACACGGCGCGTAGGGAGGCCACGGAATGGGCTGGAAACTCCGACCGACGCGGGACACGCTGAGAGGTCATGAACCAAGCGCTACACCTTTGCGCACGGCCGCAGGCAGTGTTGACCGCACGCGCAAACACGGAAGCAAAGTTTTCTTAAACTACGCAAAGGATGGGCTGATTGGCGATTAATGTGGCTGCTTGAAGGCGTGAGACATCATAGCGCATTGTAGAGAGACCAACATCAAATACATCGGATTCATCCTTAAGGTTTTAGAGCACAGGGACTGGGTAGCTACATACCATCCGATCAGCCATGAACACAACTAGAGACATAGCGCAATACATACGATGACCAACACCTACCAACAGCTGTGCCGTCCTCAAACTGACCTTAAGTTTGTAAAAAAAACAAGTTGTCATGTCCACCAGCGGCGTGTGCGAGACATCGCTTTTATTGACACCGCATGAATCTATAAACCTCGAAGTTGTGAGCCATGGAATGGTGTTATATATCGGTAAGACATGACAACCCACGCCACAAAGTCCAAAGGCTGTAAAAACGCGGATTTTTTCAAGACTGGTGCATTTACCTGACAAATCGAAAATCGGCTCCAGCTCAAAGTAGGACTTGTGGGTGTCGGCGTAGGACTCAGGCACCTCCGGGGAGTCGGGCATCAGAGAGAACAGCTGCTGAAGAAGGTTGTCCAAGAGACCATCCTCCCTGCAAGATAACCACGCCTCTTACACACGCCCACCCGCAGGTCTGCACCGGTGTTGAGATGACAACAGACGAAGGCAACACCACGCTCCGTGAAAGTGGCATGCACACAGAGCACCAGCAACACTATCCAGTCTATTGGGACAGTCAGAGCAGCTGCATTCGCCTATCCCCAGTGGTTTCCAAACTGGCCGTGCTTGGCTAGGAGGGCGACCACCTCAGCAGCGACCGCCTGGCCACCGCGACAGGACCCGCCAACCGACTGACCTGAGCGCCTCGGCCGTCATGACCTTGCGGGCCGTGTCCAGGTGTCCGGCGTACGAGATGGCCAGGTGCCAGGCCATCAGGTGAGTCAGCACCACACAGTGCGACTCGTGGCTGGGGTCCACCAGGCAGGTCTGACCGGCGGCCAGGTCCGACAGCAGGCCCGACACCAGCGGCTCCGTCTGCCACGGCAGCGGCCGGTCACCTCCGCGCCCCGCCGCACGGCGACGGCTCCAGAACCTCCCACACAAACACACGTCAAGAAGCCCCTCCCCACACAGAGCTCGCGGCAACGCTGAGCTCGTCACACTTCACAGCACGGACACGGCCTGCCAGCTCAGGACCCTTACCTGGCTCGTGATCAGCCTGAAGAGGGTCGGCAGGGCCAGCTTGGGGTCGTCCCTGCCGTCCTCCTGGTACGGACGACTCTGCTCGGCTTCGGCCAGATTTGACAAAAACCTGCGACGACCATCCCAGCTTTGTCAAAATGGCCGTGGGACCTGTCTGATTAAAACCATCAACGTAACCACAAGTAGGCACATAACATAAGCCATTGTATCCTTTGCGTGCCTTCGCCCAGATTAAGTTATAATTCCTATCAATATATATAGCGAACGTTCCCACTATGCAACACAAACCAAACGCCACGATCTGCAGGGCGCCACGAAGTCCACCGTCGACAGAGAAAAATGCATAATTCGTACATCATAATTTTCCCAGAGAGCCAAAGGCAAAATGCAATAAATATGCTCCCTCAAGGCATTCTTAATTTATCACTACGATGTGCGCCGCTGGATACCAGAACCGCTAGCCGAGGTCTGCCACGTGAACCGACCGTCACTCGCCTGTGCATGGTTCGCCAGGCCACCAACTGGACGCAGCGGCGCGGGGCCGTCAGCAGGCGGCGCCACCACGAAAGCAATGTTATAAAATCGGCCGACAGGTGGCTCTCGTCCAGGTCGGGATCCACCCGCGCGGGCAGGGCGTGGTGCAGCAGCACAACGCCAGGCGCGTGCAGCACAGCGCCACAGACTGCTGCCAAGGTCTCGCAGAACAGCGGACTGGCGTCGGCCGCCGGCGCGCCTGGAACGTCAGCCACACGACCCGTCAGTGCCCGAGGCGTCCAGCACAGGTCACCCGACCGGGCCCTGAGCCAGACACTGGGGCGAGCTTCGAGGAGGCATCGACGCGTCAGGCGGTGCGGACAACACACAACACGGCTGGTGTTCACATGGTGACACGAAGCGCACACATCGCGTTCTAAGGGCGCACGCACATCGTGTTCTAAAGGCGCGCACACATCGTGCTCTTAGGGCACGCACATCTTGTTCTAAGGGCACGCGCACGGTCACAGAACGAAATATCATAACGATTAAAAAACACACAACGGAAATACTACCAACCCATTACCAAACAGCTCGATCGCTACAACACCTAGCTAGCGCAACCAACCACGCGCGCCGCTACTGAACACGAGGAAGTTGAGCCCACAGCCCCGACAAAGCGTCGCTGTGCCCCGGCAGCAGCCGACCTTCGACTCACCAACGGCCATGACCGCGAACACGGTGAGCAGGGAGCGGTGCCACTCGGGGCAGAACAGCTCGTCCCACTCGGTTACCAGCTGGCGGTTCTGGTCGGCCTGGTGCAGCACGGCGCGCCGCACGGCCTCTGCGGTCCGGCAGAGGGCGTGCAGCAGCACGGACCGGCCCACCGACGCGCGGCGCACGTCCGCGCCTTCCTGCGCCGGCCCAGGTCACCGCCGGTCAGAGGTCAGCACGAGGTGTAGGTCAGCGCGGGGCGGAGGTCAGCACGGGGCATAGGTCACTATGGATCAGAGATCCGAGGTCAGCAAGGGCCACAGGCCCGAGGTCAGCACGGGTCAGAGGTACACATGGTAGAAGTCAGCACGAGTCGGAAGAAGGCATGGGTCAGAGGTCAGCACGCGGCAGAGGTCAGCACTGGTCAGAGGCCAGCACAGGTCAGAGGTGAGCGCGGGCCAGAGGTCAGCGCAGGTCACAGGTCGGCACGGCAGCTGATGCGGCTCAACAAAGGCCACCCGTGATGCGTGTGGCTACACTCCCGGCGACCCCGGGCAGCAGCCGACAGAGCGCCACACGTGTCGTCACTCCCCACCAGTGAGCAGAAGAGGTACAAATAGCAGGTGCCAACTAACACCCATATTTTAAAGAGTAAGCAACTATCACCATACTTCTCGATCGGTACACATACAGCCAGTACAGCCAGTTGACGGGCGCCAGGATAGCCGCCACAGCCGTAGGCGTTTCAGGCCGCCCGGCGTAAGCGCTGGCCGCCGGCGGGCCTCACCTGTAGCCCGGCCACCCACGACGAGACGGAGAGCAGCAGCAGGTCCCAGTGGGTGGACTCCAGCAGGCACGCGCAGTGCTCCAGCAGCGCATCGAAGAAGTGCAGCACGGACACGTTCTGGGTGAGCCGCGTCCAGTCGGCGTCGGCCTCCTCCCTGCACGGGGATCCAGTCAGCTGACGGTGGACATGGCATGCCGGATCACACGGCAAACTGTATTGTACAAGCGACACATCAGACAGGCCGACATACAACCGGAAATTTTCCCTTGGTTTCTGTTCGCTGTTCTGCTAGCTTCTGCACACTAAAATATGTACAAAAATAATATACTCGAGCTGCTAAGCATGCGTGGCATTGCATGGCCAGAAACTGAGAAACAGGGTTCAAAAATTTACGCGATTTCTTAACAGCATACCAGCCCCAATGACGTTCACCTCGGTTGGTATTTGGTTCTCTACCCGCCGAAGCACCTAACAGCACCAATGATCAGCATCGGAACATCTGGCGCGTCTCGCCACAGGTCAGAGTTCAGCAACAGAGCGCGGCCCCGGCGTCGGGGGGCGCCACTCACCACGAGCAGGGAAGCTGGCCGTCGTCGCGGGCCCGCACCACGGCGTCCAGCAGCGCCAGCGCCGCGCCGCCGGCCTCCACCACTGTCCAGTCGGCGTCGTGACGGGCGGCCAGCTGGCGCAGGGTGGCGGCGGCCAGCGTCAGCCGGCTCAGCCCGTCACCGGCCGCCGACTCCAGCAGCCGCAGCAGCGCCGCGTCCGGCAGCAGCGGCACCGACGGCTGAGCAGCGCGGTGCGTTCGGTCAGCGGCCGGCCAGCCGAGGTGGTTACACAACACACACATCGACAGCAGAGGCGGGGCGGTCAGCAGAGGCGGCGCACGCCCGTCCACTGACCCGGCGACGCGGACATACGACTTCCATCCTCGCTACGCTCGCTGCCCACCTTATCCTGAGCAAGAGAGCGACAGCAGACAGCGACAGCGCCAGTTGAATGCGACGGAAAGTGGCATTACACGGACAGCATTCATTCGCACAGGTGGATTCATTGCGTACATATGCATCACACTATGACCAGATCACGTTTCGTATACAGGAAAACGCGTCGGCGGTGTTTCCCCGCCGCAGCCTGCTACAGCTGCTGCAGCGTCGCGGCTGACCGCAGCGCCCTCACCAGCATCAGCTCGACGCTGTCCTGCAGGCGGCCGGCCAGCGTGTCGGGCTCGGCGCCGGACAGTCGCAGCAGCAGCGCCAGGGCGTCCGCGTCGACGCCATCCGCGCCGGACAGCGCCCTGTGGCCGGCAGAGGCGACACACCGTCAGGCAGGGGCGCCACAGGTCGGACACTGACCCGGCGACATGGCTCATTGAAGAACACAAGAACACGCGTACATGGCACGGGAAAATGAATGCTGCATAGCCGCAGCACTACTGCGTTTCAGAAACTGTCATGTTACTGCTGAAACTTTACTGCGCAAAGTTTCAGCAGTAACACGACCGTCGCACCGGTAGAATGGGAATAAGAAACGCGTCGCTGTGAGTAATGCGCGCGCATCGCTGGGATCACTGTCATCATGGGCCACAGTTTCTGCCGCCACCACGCGAGGCCGCCACCTCGTACGGCCGCGGTTGCCGGGGGCGGGACTGACCGGTCAGTGACCGCCTGCAGCAGCGCCTCCCGCTGCTCAGTCGACAGCGACGTCACCAGCTGCGCCAGCTGACTCTCGGCCGTCTCCAGGTCGTCGGCGTCGTCGGTGGGGCCGCCGGCCAGGCGGGCGGCGCCAGCCTCGGTCACGTGGGCGGCCAGCAGGTCGGGCAGGTATTGCGCTGCCGCCGCCGCCGCCGCCGCCGCCGGCTCGGCGTCCGGCCAGAGGGCGGCCAGCTCCAGCAGCAGGCAGCGCAGGTGGGCGGGCAGGCCGGCCGGCCGCTCGCCAGCCGGTGCCAGGGTCGCGGCCGGCGGCGGTCGCAGGCTGACACGCCGCTGGAGCAGCAGGTGCAGCTGCGCCGCCGGGCGCCGCGCGTCCGCCGCCCAGCCATCCGGCAGCAGGTCGGCCAGCAGAGGGCAGAAGCGAGCGTCGCCCAGCAGCCGCGCCCAGCCCAGCGTGACCGCGCGCAGCCGGCGCTGCTGCGGCTCAGCGCCCGCGCCGGCCAGCGCGGAGCGCAGCTGGGAGGCCAGCACGGCATCGGTAGCCGGCTCCAGCACGGCCAGCCGCGCCTGCAGCGCGCCCAGCGCCGCCACCGAGCCGGCGGCGGCCAGACCAGCAGCGTGCGCGCGCAGCAGGGACGCCGAGCAGCGGCAGCCGGGCGCCAGCAGGGCGGCCAGCTGCTCGAACCGCCAGCTGCCGGCGGCGCCCTCCGTCTGCAGCCGCTCCGTGACGGCGGTGAGCAGACTGGCGGCCGGGTCCGAGGCTGCCGAGGGAGGGGACGACACTCTCTAGCCCCGCTCCCAGGGAACGCTCAGGCGAGCGAAGTCTACATACAAATATCACATGACACTAAGAGAAACAATAGGCAACGGTAACAACAAATCACCAAGTGTGACACAAAGAGGCCGCCACGACGCATATCGGACTTGTCAACGAACGTGCAGATTGGCAGAAAACGAAAATGAAGTCCTGTGAGAATGCAAGAGCTTAGAGGATTCTTGGAGGAGAAAACTCCCATGTTCTGACTCTATGAAGGAAACGACACTAGCTGCGTCCTAACGCACCTGTAGGGCCACTCTTGCCGTGATCCTTCAACAGCAGCGGAATGGCCTGAAGCGTGTGTTGCCACTGATCGCCGCCAGGGTCGCTAGTGGCGGTGACGGCGGCCAGGACTGCCGCGTGCAGCTGGTCGGACACGGCCCAGCTGGCCAGCTCAGGGTCGACGGCCGGGCCTGACCGCTCCATCAGACGCAGCAGCTCCAGCACCATGGACATGTGACCCTCCTGCCGGCGGCGGGCAGGTCGGCGCGTCAGCTCGCTGCCGCGCGGGGCTGGCGATCCAGGTACACAGCCTGTACCCCGTCTGTGCTACAGACGCACCCCGAGTGGCGATGGTGATCAGGCACACACGTCACGCTGATATACTACACAACTCATCAACGGGGGAAAACATTTGCTAGGTCTATCTGAATGGGCTTATAAGCGATGGTTGATGTCTCGCCCCCAGTCAAGCAGCTTTAAAACAACCTGCCTCCTAAACTCGGCACTCATTATGCACGCTGCTGCATCGTGCACGACCTGGTCGACCAGGCCGCATCATGCAGGTCACAGGCCGCATCATGCAGGTCGCAGTGTACATAGTGCCAGCTGCATCATGCACGCCGCGAAACACGCTCATGATAACTGATGGTCAACGACCTGGCCGCCACCACGCCGCACACAGCCGCGCCCGCTGGCAACCAAGGCCGACCAGCGCGCGTGCTTCCCCCGGCCGCCGTACCCGCGTCACGTCCAGCGCCAGCTGGCTGCGCTCCTGGCGGCTGCAGAGCCGGTACACGGTGGCGAGCAGCTGCACGGGCAGCTCGCTGCGGCCCGCCTCCAGCTCCGGCCGCACCAGGTCGCGGTAGAGGGCCGGGCCGGGCTCGCCGCCGCCCGGCGGCCGCGCCACCCGCTCGGCCACGCCCGGCACGCCCACCAGCAGACGCGCCAGCTGGCGACGCTCGGTGGCGCTGGCCGCGGCCGCGCGCACCGCGTCCATCAGCCGCTGGCCGGCGCGCGCCGCGCACTCCTGCAGCGGCGAGCCGGCGGTGCGTGCCAGCGGCGATGGCCGAGCCGGCGCCGGCGGCGGCCGCTCCGCCGGCGGCGCGTCGGAGAACGTCACCCGCGCGCGCCCGTCGGCGGCTGGCTCGGCGGCGCCGCTCGCCGCCGCCAGCAGCAGGTCGACGGCGGCGGCGCAGCGGTCCGGCGCCGCCAGGTGCTCGCGCAGCAGCGCCCGCTCCAGCGCGGCCCAGTACCGACGCTGAGCGTCGGCGGCGGCGGCGGCGGCGCCCGCACCGTCCGCCGCCAGACTGTACAGCTGGTTGAGGCCGGCGGACAGCGGCGGCAGCACGAGGCCAGACACGGCGCGCAGCTCGCCGGCGATGACGTCACTGGTGACGGCGCACAGCTGTGGGACGGGACTCGCGTCAGCGGACAGGGCACGACGAGGCCGGGTCACAGCCGCGTGGGACGGTAGGAAGTCACAGCTTAGTTAAAGAGTCGCGCCGGGTAACACCACAGACGACGTACGGCGGTAAAGCAGAGCGACTGAGAATCGTGGAAATTGTAAGCAGGAAAGTTCATGGTGGTAAACGCGATTGGCAGGCAATACACGAGTGGCCGTTGCGTTCAGTGAGTTGCGGAGCGAAAGGATGCCACTGGATGAAGTGGCATAATGCTCTATTGTTGTTGTTATGTCGCATAACGATTATTAAACATAATGCTAGCGGTATAGTTTTGGCAGGTAATCTATATCACCTGGAAACAAAATCACGCAGGACAAAACCGTAGCCCACATGGACTGTATCTCAAGTTTTCCAAAGATCAATGCCACGCAGTGTAAGTCCGTAGCCTACAAGAACAATATATCAGCGAATCGCTGAGATGGATGGACGCATCCCAGCACAAATTCCATAACAAAGCAGCTGACACATTTGCGCAGAACCGATGTAACGAAAGGAATAATTGCCCGAGATTACGTCTCCGCCTGGTGTTATTATGCATGCGACGTTTCGGCACAGCGTACACGATAGCCGATGGATCAACGGACCGAGACGTTGTGTGTGCAACGTACATACTGACGCACCAGATGGGGACGGTGGTCCGAACAATTATCCCACTCGTGGTACTAATACCTTGCCTAAACCCTTCTGTAAAACTTGTATCAGATGCCTCCACTGCACGAATAACAATGACGAACCGTGATGCAGCAATGTCACTGCCACCTGGTGGCAGACCAGCACAGCTCACCTGATCGACAATGACGGCGACGACGGGCTCCGAACAGCCCTGGCGAAGCAGGTACAGGGCGCACTCCAGCAGCGAGCGCACAATAACGGACACCTCGCGGGCGCTCTGGGTCACGCGGTCGGCACTCAGTCTGGCGAGGGGGGTCACACCGGTCACGCGGCAGCTCATCAGGGGTAGCGGCTAACTCCGCCAGACCACGACACATCCGCGGCGAGGACCAGTTCAGTCGCGCCACGGTCCACCCGACGCAGATACCGCCAGCGTCCAGCATATGGACGTCCTCCGCCGGAGCGCATCCCGCCCGGGCCCAGCGGGCGCGCTCAGGCTTTGGTTCGTCTGAGCCGTGTGGTCCGTTACCGACCCGACCGGTCTTCGCAAGACGTGACACTACTCCAGCAGCGGCCCGCAGAGGAGCCTGGCAGGCCCGCGAGCTGCGTCGCTCGCCCATCGTATTTTTAATCGAGTGCCAAGACTTCCCCGTCACACCCTGCAGCGGCTCAGGCCGTGCCCTTGCTAGGAGAGTCGGTAGGCCGCCGCACCGTGTTCGATCGTGGGCGCAGAGAGCAAAAGTAAGCCGAATCCAAGACGCGTGAAACACACAACGATGAATAACGCGTGCAGAAGTATGGATCAGTTGAACTGTGGATTCATAAGCAATGCGAGAGTCAGGCTGGCTTGGCCAACGCTGCGTAATAAAGACCACTTGTGCTTAGCGAGCTTCGACTCTGGCTTTGCTGCACACCTGCATGCTATTTGTGGTACATCGACCCCCAAAGGCATCGCGCGCACGCCATTTTGCCAAAGCCGTTCCGTCCAGAGGGTAGCAGCCGAGCAGCGGTCGTGTTTTCCCGCCAGCCGAGCCGCGTGCTTATCTCACGTCATCCATCGAGGCTTGGGGACGGGTGGGGCTGTGGGTCACCTCACCCCTGGTACATGCTGGAGAGGAAGAGCCGGTGGAGCTCGTCCGGATCACCGGCCGCGTCCTGCGGCAGCCTCGAGAGCAGCACGATCATGAGTGGGTGAAGGGTGACGGCGCAGCCCCGGCCGCCCTCCCGCAGCACCGTCCACAGCTGCGGCAGCACCGCCTTCCGCACGTTCACCAGGCTCCAGCAGTCCTGCGGGAGCACCCCGTGCGGACTCAGGCGCACGCACGGAGGCACGCGAGCGGTGGTGGGACCGGCAAACGCGGGGCAACAGTGGTTTCTGCTCGTACGATTGCAGCGTGCACCCATAATACACAGGCAGGTGGTGGACCAGGCGCAAGTGACGCAACGACGCAGTTGAATCATACGAGGACAACCCGTGCGCAACAAAACTCATCTGAAACCAAACTTGTGGCTACGCCCTGCTTCCCGTCTTTTTGCGTCACTATCTCCCCAAACCCGACAAAAGAAAAGAACACCAATGCCCAACGAGACAACTGGATCTCTCAATCCAGAACGATTGATGCGACACTCCCACTGGCTGCGACTCGGGAGGGGGGGGGGGGGGGGCGCCCACCGGTTAGGGCGAAAGTGGGAGGGAGGGGGGGGGGGGGAGGCGCACCGGCACGGTAGTGACGAGGCAGATGGCCGCGTCCCACGTGTCCGTCAGCACGGCCGGGTCACGCTCATTCAGCGCGTGCAGCGCGGCGGGCGCCAGCCGGGCTCCGGCGGCCGCCACCAGACCGGGCCGACGGGCGCAGAAGCGCGACACCAGGCAGAACCACCAGCGGCGCACCTGCACGGGCGGCACGGGTGAGACGCCGCCACGGACCCGGCCGACCGGAGGCCCGACATCCATCCAGCTGGATGTCCCGGGTGTCAACATAAATTCATGCTATCGGACTGCTGGCTCCCCGGCCGCCGCCGGCCGTGCGAGGCTCCGCTGGCGGGGCGGCGGCTGCTCTTTGCCTGTTGCCCTTTGACCCCGAACCCTGACATTATGACCCGCTCGCAACATTTGCCAGGCCAGAAGCACCTAGATCCCAGGTTGACTGCCAGCCGGCCCAATGCTGACAAGCCAACCCTGAGCGCGGCAAAGAAGCAGTCCAAGCGCTGAGCCCGGGCCGGGGGCACAACAGTATGAAAAACATCGACATCCTTGTCATCTACGTGGCCAAATATTGCCACCGTGCGGCAGGCAGAGACGACGAGCGAGCCATGTTGGCCTCCTCACCTGCGGGTGGCTGTGCTTGGCTAGCTTGACGAACTTGTTGTGCGTGACAATGTCGGCGAGAGGCTGGTCAGACGAGGCTCCCCTGGCGTCCTCGGGGTCCTCAGGGAGGAGCTCCAGCAGCTCGCGTAGTCCCGAGAGACAGCCGGTCAGCAGGCGGACAAACCGCGCCTCCAGCTCATCTACCGACATCACACTGTGGGGAGTAGACCAGTCGGTCAGTGGGCGGACAAACCGCGCCTCCAACTCATTCACCGACATCACACTGGGGGGTAGACCAGTCGGTCAGTGGGCGGACAAACCGCGCCTCCAACTCATTCACCGACATCACACTGGGGGGTAGACCAGTCGGTCAGTGGGCGGACAAACCGCGCCTCCAACTCATTCACCGACATCACACTGGGGGGTAGACCAGTCGGTCAGTGGGCGGACAAACCGCGCCTCCAACTCATCCACCGACATCACACTGGGGGGTAGACCAGTCGGTCAGTGGGCGGACAAACCGCGCCTCCAACTCATTCACCGACATCACACTGGGGGGTAGACCAGTCGGTCAGTGGGCGGACAAACCGCGCCTCCAACTCATTCACCGACATCACACTGGGGGGTAGACCAGTCGGTCAGCAGACGGACAAACCGCGCCTCCAACTCATTCACCGACATCACACTGGGGGGTAGACCAGTCGGTCAGTGGGCGGACAAACCGCGCCTCCAACTCATTCACCGACATCACACTGGGGGGTAGACCAGTCGGTCAGTGGGCGGACAAACCGCGCCTCCAACTCATTCACCGACATCACACTGGGGGGTAGACCAGTCGGTCAGTGGGCGGACAAACCGCGCCTCCAACTCATTCACCGACATCACACTGGGGGGTAGACCAGTCGGTCAGTGGGCGGACAAACCGCGCCTCCAACTCATCCACCGACATCACACTGGGGGGTAGACCAGTCGGTCAGTGGGCGGACAAACCGCGCCTCCGGCTCATCCACCGACATCACACTATGGGGGCAGACCACCCGGAGGGGGCGTCATTTGCCTCGCCTCCACGTGTGAAACTGGAGGATACTGGTGGGGATGATGTCGGCAGAGGGCGGTCCCTGGCTCATCTCCCCCGACATGCTGTCTCCCAAACAAGTCGGAGACAATGCCATCGTAAGGACTCCAGCGTGTACATCCTGGCCCTGGACCGCATTAGGTCCAGCAGCCCGTGGACAGACAAGCTATCGCACATTCGCGTTTCTGTTCATGCTCACGTAAAACACCCGGACAGCGCGAGACGCGTTCAAATTCGCAGACTGCATGCTCTGCGTCGCTGCGCTTTTATTCAAACATTCCACATCACCCACCTGGGATCTGAGTATGTCTGGGGCGTCTGGTCATACAGACCCTCCTTAACGTATGCTAGGACGCTTGAGTAGCAGAACTTCACAGCACCAGATTGTTTCTCAGGTACAGAAAACACATTCTGAAACACAAAAGTCCGCATAGCAAATCGCAAGCCGCAGACCTCAGAGTCTCCGTGAGCGAGGCGATAACCCGGCTATTGTCTTCACCATTACGCAGGAACTGCTACAGAGCTGATGCTGAGGGCCGGGGCCAGTGAGAGCGCTCTTAGTTCACATGCCAGCAGTTAGCAGAGGCGCTGGCGTGACGCAATGGCTCAAGCGCGGAGGTGACCCCCAGCACCCACCCTCATCTGCCGCGGACCCGACCCGGCCGCGGCACCAGCACGCACCTGGAAGGCCCAGTGGTGACTTAGGCACGGAGGTGACCCTCAGTACCCACACCCACCCGCCACGGACCCAGCCCGGTCGCGGCACCAGCACGCACCTGGAAGGCGCGGCGCGCGGCCGTGGCCGCCGGCGGGTACGGGTCGTTCTGTGAGCACAGCCAGACCGGCACCAGCTCGGCCATGTGTGGCGTGGCCGCCTTGCGCACGCGCAGCAGCAGCCGCTGCAGCGCCACGTGCGACATCTCGCGGACGCGGCTGGAAACGTCGGCGGTCAGCGGCGCGCGGCCGGGCGGGGGCAGCACATCGGCATATCGGCATACGCATGCAGCACATCGGCATACACGAACAGTACCATGAACAGGTACAGGAACGGTGCGGTACACAGGCTGGTACACAGCATGATAAGAGGACTCTAAGATAAGATAAGATAAGATAAGAAGATTTTTATCGGTGCGCAATGAAAACAGAAAGTTAAGGTGATCAGCTGCTTATGCATTTCATCAACACGCGCCCGGATGGTCGGTTGAATATTCTTTGCTCGGGTGGGGATCAAGTTCACCATCTAGATCTCAGAGACTAAGCAAGCTAGATACACCAAATTGGCAGGATGTAATGTCCTGTGTGTCAATTCACTTCTGCAAGAAGATCAGGTTCCTAGGTCATGACCTTGGGGTCCAATTCGGTCAAACAATGTAAAAAATCAAAATAGCAACAGAAACTGCTCCATACAGCAAGCTCTAGAGCAATAAAACATGCTGGCTTTGACCTTCGTCTGACCTTCATACGTGACCATGCGTTTAAGACATTTGTTCATGCCATTGTCGTGTTGCTTAAGAAACTATAGCAGAGAGCTATGGCTTTCTCTAACATTCCGTTGTTGCATCAAGTTAAATTGTCTCCACTGAATCTATGGTCTGACTTTGACCTGCCGTAGGTTAGCGACCTTACAAGGTATATCTAAATATTTTACACCACATGATCCACTATTCAATTGTCTGCAGCCATGCCAAAGTTGGCGCGGCTGTGCCGCGCCGTTCGGAAACCACTCCAGAAAACCTTTGGGGGGGGGGGGGGAACTGACCCCCGAGCGCGTGTTAAGCGTCTGCTAACATTGTGCTTGTTCACATGGGCATGCAACCACTCATAGCCTGATGATCTGGAACGAGTCGCTGTCATGTCAATCTTTTATGTTATTATCACGGTCTAGCCACACACATGGGCTCAACTTTTTTATCGGAGGCCAAGCAGCATGACACAGTCAGAACTACATCAGGTATAGTGATGCTTAATGTTGAATTAATGCAATGACGGATACCAGTACGCAGTTTTGCTCCCACGGCGTCAGCTCATCTGCTTTTTTATCCGCACTTTTGAAGCACCACCACTTATTAAAGGCATCAGCTGGAGTTGAGGCGCACAGTGCTGACTCAAGCATCAATCGAAAATTCGGTACCAGTAACCGGCCTAACTGGCCGAAAAACGTAAAGACACGCGTTGTACCACTGGAAACCATGTCATGCAGCGGTCGTTCACAACCACGGCACGGACGGCCCATTAGCCGGCAGCCCAGCCGGCGCCGCAGCGCTACAGCGGGGAGCCGTCAAACTGTCGCCGCGAGGACACTCGAGCGACGAGCGGCTCCCTCTGAGTGCAGCTGGCACGCGGGATGCGTCTCTCGCGAGCGGCGGCCCGATACGCTTATGAATTTTCAGCGGAGACAATTTGTCTGAAATTGGTCTCTTGGGGGCTGTGAGAGACTGATTAACATACAGTCCACTCTTTATGTCCGACCTTCTCAGAAACAATCCGACCAATCTTCATAACGGGCGTTCCTGAGTGTTTTGGTGTTGAAACATATGACTGTGTTCTCATTCCGAGGCTGACGAATGACTAAGTAGGCAGCCCTTATAACATTCTTGCCCGTCGGGAAAGTTCTCGGGGATGGAGGTGCCCGCCAGAGCGTCAGCGGTTTCCCTGTCTGCGGTTGCCTATGCGATCGCTCCAAAGGGCTAACATGTCGCGCGACTGAGTCGCTCCAGCCCGTCAGCCTGGTCCTCCGGAGCCGCAGTACGGCGCTGGCCTGCTCCGACGCTCTTTTGAAAACGTTCAGTTTGCTCATCTCGATTCAAAATATCGATTCCTAGCTTCCCGATCTTGTTTTCAAATGGACAAAAGATCCGCTCACTTTTATGCCATAGTCATGGGGCCTTGCAATAGTTCTTCGAAAGACATTTCAATGACAATGGATGCTCTTGAGCTCGGACATCACAGCTGTACTTGCGGCATTCTCATGTTAAGGGACCACGTTCCCTTCACGTTCTCTTCCAGCGACTTAAACATTTCACCTGTTGGCCTTCGCCACGTGAGGTCGACGTTTCCCACGCGCAGAGTGCACGGCCCATGCTCTGCACTACGGAGCGTATATTTGGAGACAGGTCCATCACGCGGCATAGCGGCCATACTGAGCTGTGCTTCCGCGGACATAGGCAACTAGTCACCGTTCGGTACTATGCCTCGCCCAGCCACGGCCGCAGACCGTCTTCCACGAGCTCACCGCTCTACTCAGGCCGCGGGCCGGCCCCCAACATACGCCTGGTGCCACTACAGCGTACACCCCACGGGGCGGAGTGAGCCTGTGAGCACGTGCTCACCGTTCCGCTCAGGCCGCGGGCCGGCCCCCAACATACGCCTGGTGCCACTACAGCGTACACCCCACGGGGCGGAGTGATCCTGTGAGCACGTGCTCATCGCTCTGCTCAGGCCGCGGGCCGGCCCCCAACATACGCCTGGTGCCACTACTGCGTACATCCCACGGGGCGAAGCGAGTCTGCGGGCACGTGCTCACCGCTCCGCTCAGGTCGCAGACCGGCCCCCAACATGCACCTGGTGCGACTACAGCGTACACCCCGCGGGGTGGAGCGAGCCTGCGGGCACGTGCTCACCGCTCCGCTCAAGCCGCGGGCCAGCCCCCTACATGCGCCTGGTGCCACTACTGCGTACATCCCACGGGGTGGAGCGAGCCTGCGGGCACGTGCCCACCGCTCGAGCTAGGGTCATGAACTGTGGTGCGATCGCAGTTCAAATACGCTCGCTTATGACCGAACGTTCCCATGTCGTGTGCAATTGTTGCTGTCACTGAGCACGTTCCCATGCCGTGTGCAGGTGCTGCTGTCACTGGGCAAGTTAAGCAGCTGACGACACACCGTAATACTGCTGCCAGTCTGCTGCGTGGGCTTACTTGTCAACGTCTGTCGCCAGCTTGCGGTACAGCCTGGGCCAGAATGGCAGAGCCAGCTTGACGTCGTCAAGGCTGTGACTGTCACAGAGCTCAGTAAACTCTTGTGTGGCCTGCGGAAGACACATGTTTGTGGGGTGTCATGGACATGGTGTTATTAAGGTTGGAACACATGGTCTTCCTCCAACCAGCTTTGTAAACAAATTGAATGCCCGACTTAAAACATAAATATGGAGACGTTTAAAAAACACAACATTTTCAGCAAACAATAGTTGAAAATTATCTTCCAAAGCAGCACACAAATTATTGATTGGCATCTCACTGCGATACAGGACGTAAGCGCAGTACCTTTGACTTCGTGGTCGCATCTTTTTTCGCCATCTTCTTCAGCACTGCACGCATCTGGCCGGAGACAGCTCCACTACTGCCCTCATCCTGTGCCCCACCCACTGGTGCGGGCACATAGCCCAGGTCACTGAGTGCACTGAACCCAATCAGCTGGTCAGTTCCCAGGCGCTGGGCATGCCTGTCGCTGCTTGAAGGCTGTGAATGAACAGCAGATTGTGTGAGGGTTGTAGGCTTTTAGCACATGCGTATAACTGTCGGAAATTGAACATTGAACTAGCATTCTATGTTGAGCAAAGCAGGTGGTACACGCTGAAGTCACATATCTAATCTTCAGACACAGACTGGGTGTTTCATCACGCAAATAAAAGACATCACAGAAGCGATGTGACATGTCTTACAGTGATTTAACTTTTATAATCCCCGGCCCTCTGCTCATTAACAATATATGACTTGGAGGGGGTATAATATTTAAGTGGTTCGTGTCTACACCTCCCATATAGGGAGTCAAGATTCTAATTCTGATTGCACCATGTTTTTTAAGAGCTACTACGGCCAATTCAGTTTCTGGTGTCCTATTAACCCACACCCGGCCGGGGTCTGAGACAACCGCGCCCGGCCGGGGAGTCGGCTTTTCCCCGGGACCTCCAACTTCTAGACGCCGTATGAGAAAAACAAGGATACCGTTGTCAAAGTCTCGTCTAATCACCAAGAATGCACGTCAAATTTTTATCTTAGGTCAGTTGGGAGGCCACCAAAGGTCACCAAAGGTAAAAAAACGGTCGTTCCTACATACAGCTAAAACCTATGTTAACATGTCAAGACGGGTACTGAGAGCACGGAAATAACGGTAACACTGTGTCCAGCGCAGTTCAACCATTTCAGTTCCCCCACTTTGGTCAGGTCAGATTAGGTCACCATTCAAAATAGGTTCACCAGTAGCCTACAAGAATGATACTTTTTCATGATGTGCTTCTGACTAAGTTTATTTTGTTAGATGTAGCTGCAAGACAAAAATAATCCAGACATAAGATACCATTCTGGGCCAACCACGAGGTCATCTGCGGTTGATTTGGGTCAAGCTTATCAACACTGGGTAACATACCACCTGCTTTCCTTAACATTATATCATTGACATATATTCAAATGAAAAAATCAAGCGGTAACTGGGTCCATGTGACTGGCACAATGCCCTTCTGTGGTCAAAAATAGTGTATCATAATCTACAGGTCCCCAAGAACACGCAGCTATTGTCTATGTTATACATAGCCCATTCAAGGCTTGGAATTGTATTTGAAACACACTGAGAACAGGTATGTAGGTATAGGAAATTATATGCCATCAGGTTCACAAACACAATATAGACAAGATTACACACACACCACACTTGTTCATCTAGCCTCTCCACTACTAACAACATAGGTCATTCACTTTGGAGCACCTCACATGACCCTGCATACCCTCACATGACCCATTATGACCTCATGATGCATAAGAACAACATCAAAATATGTTTGCAGTAGAGCATTCAAATTCTGCATCCAAAACTACCTTAACAGTCTGCCTATTTTGAGCTTAGCATGTGTTTTGCAGAAGGTACCTATAGAGGTAGGTCATCACCTGGACCAAGGTCATGTTGTCTGTGGTCATGTTATGGTTGTGCATATATGTTAACACTCTTTTACCATGTACCAACAATGAAACCACACAAGAATGTACACAAATTTCCATTATTGATGAAAATAGCAAATATTCACATGACCTGACTTCAGGTCACTGACCTCACATTTCAGAAAAAAATCTGAAAGCTATGAGCTGTAGGTGCTGTCATGTTTTATTGCTGTAACAAGTTTGAACAATGGAAAATGATCCAAAAAAAGTTACATATGGTCAAAGTTTTTAAATGCTGACCTCTTCCACCTGATCTAGGCCACTGACTTTGGTAGATCAAAGCTTAAAATTTGCCAAAATTTGATGCCAAATTGATGGATGAAAAGGTACTGCAAGTTTAGTGTTGTTGCAAGCATTTGTTTCTTACCTGTGTTCAAAAAGCCATCAGGAGAAGTGAACTTCCCCCTGGGCATGTGCAGGTAAAAGGGTGCACCACACTATGTGTCCAATTCTTTTTTAATAAATAAACAGAGTATACAAAACACATTAAAAAAGAACCACAGCTAATATTTACTAAAATCACACTTCTACCAATAAACCAAAAAGCAAGTGGACCTGACAGAATATCCATTTTGCCATTTTCAGTTGTTGTAACAGCAAGACAGACAGAGGAGAATTTCATCATGGCATGCATCAGCCACCATATGATTTCTTCTAATTGGTTGTGGGTAATAGCATAGAATCCTTTGCCAAACCAACAAATATGACTTAAGCTCTCTTCATCAAAACAGGCATGAGGAGAAATGCAACACATACATGCAAGAATTCAAATGAACGTGGATGTGTGGACGAACATCCTTTGCAATCCAAGAAGCAATCAGATCAGCCATGCTTGGAATTACATACATTCAGCATATATTGTGACCAATTAAAAACATCATTCAGCAACAACATTCAACATATTCCAACATGCCTAAATTGGCATAAGTTCAAAACACATGCATTAAATTTCACACATTGAATGCATATTATGACTGACTCAAAACATGATGCAACACATTTTACCATGCCAAAATTCACAACTTGCAATCAAAATTAATATATCTATTCATGTCTAGCTGAGTTAGTGCATGCCCAGCTACAAAGACTGAGCATGCAGACCATGAAGATCTTACCTGTGTGTTATTTTTGGTACGAGGCTGCTTCTTTCCACCCATATCTAGGAATGTTCTAAAAACCTGAAACAAGTACATATTCAAGCTGTAAATAATAATTTCATAACTTAATGGCATTCTGCAGAATTTGAAACAGTAATAATGGACACAGCACTTGCAATCAGGAATATATGACATCTGCCCACAACTACGTTGACACCAAGTTGCCTGCTCCCCAGTCCACCAACCATGGCAGATTTTGAAAGGATCTTGATAAGGCAGAGGAAGGACACAAATTCCAACTTAGAGAGCTTATCAAAACTTTGGGGCAGAATGATTTAATTTGACTTTCATGGGCAGCATTGAGTATTCCAACATAAAACTGGTAAGATCAATGAAAATAATTGATGGTTAATGAGGTTTTGAGGCAAACAGGCATACAAAAATATACCCCCGCTGAGTCAGTTTACTGTCCTACTTGGGCAGGATTTTGGCTACCCAAAAACATCTTGCTTGTACATTTGCTGTGGTTTGCATACTAGTTTATTCCAGTGAGGGCATTTACATTATATCCTCTACTCCTTAGATGCACTGAATTCCAGTCATAATATAAACTGAAGATTACATATGCATAAACACTTAAATGAACTGAAGCTTGTCCCTAAAGAAATCCATATGGCACTACAATACATCCAAACATGTCGCTTGTTATGCTCCGCTCCATCAAGAAATCACGATTGTAATTACCTGGAGATTGAAGTCAGAACACAATTCTTCACGAATTCCAGTAACAATGATCCACCAGACCGATAAATACGCAACACAGCTGGCTACTACCCCCACCTCCCCTATCCTTGCCCACACGTGATGCAAGTAGTTTCAGCTTTCGACAGCTGACCCCAGATTCGTGCGGAACTGCGCCATTGATGGCTCACATGCGTAATAATGCCCTTCAGCGGAATCAATGCATTACAGAAGTTCACTGCTGTCTAAACGGCCGACTCAAAAATCGGAAAGTGGGACGAATACTCTCCATACTTTTACCAATTGGGTTACAAGTTATCATTTCATCATATGTTATAAGTCAAGATACTTTATATCAACATGAAAGCCTCCATTCGAGTCGGTAAAAATGGGTGGCAATTGACATTACCAGACAGATTTCGATGACGCTCAAAGATACACCATTAGAAACTTCTTATTCGATAGGCACCTTGCGACTTAACCGGCGGTCAGCCTGTCCCGGGGTCACCACGTTGACATCCCAACAAAAGATGGCGTCACTTAGGGGGATAATGTAAAGTTTACCGGAGCTGTGCGCAGACGTTTTTTATGAAGGGTATCCTCAGAAGTCCTCGTCAGGCAGTGATCGCGTGCTAAGTCTGAGCTGTCATACCTGCCCGTCTGCCATGCTTGCAATTTAAGAAAGCTCTCCGGACGAAGAACGCATGGAAGGTGCCTATCGCCTAAAAAATGACCGCATGAACGCACAGTTGTCGGAATAAACATTGTTGTAAAAAACAAAAACACAAAACGATAAACGGATTGCATGTAGCACATGGCAGCCATCACTGTCCTTAGAAGCTGCAGGCCCAGTTAAAAAACTCGGCACTATCCGACTCGCATCATACGTGTTCTAAAACTGTGCCAGAATCTGGCGACCTCCGATCATTAAAGTAGTCTTCAAATGAGTGGGAAACAATGCGTGAGTATTGCAACAGTTTCGATTCCGGAGCCCATCAAAGGGAATATTTCATATTTCAAGATCTTAAAGTGAACATCATGTGTGATGACATTGTCTCATTAATAGCTACTGGTATGCTTTAAGTGGAAAAGACTGCTTAAGACGGAACGGTTTCTCTCTTTAGTAAATATGCTCCCAACGCGACATTGTTTGACAGCGTCGTCGTACCTTGCACAGCACTGATTGAGAGCCTTTTGCTCGCCGCTATGTCTGGACATCGTATCCTCGAACGCCAGACATGAACGACTCCACAATTACATATTTCTTGGCATTGATCGCCGCATGGCTGATGGAATGGCAGGATTTGAATGACGGTATTATGACGTCACACATGCCTGAGTGACCTTAAAATAGTCTCCCTGAAATGGCCTGCACATTTTCGCGGGCGTGTTGCTCAGAAATTAGAGGGTTTTGGTCTTAAGAAGGGAGGGAAGAGAACTGCACCGAACGATGCTCAGGATGGCTATTTCGTTTCAAAACCCCATGCAAATCTGAAGCATTTCTTTTGAAACAAGCTCCACCATTCGGCTGGCAACACCCGGTTTCATCAGTCGTGATTTTGGTGTCCCCATTGACCTCATTCGAGTGGGCTGTGATGGGATGCGATAGCGTTTTAACCGCGCCCGATGTCAGAAATACTAGTTTAAATACTAGTCACATTACAACTTTTTTTAAAACAATCGTTTCCTATACATATAAATGTGGGATATGATTGCATTTATCAGCCGTCGAGGATTTTATCACATGGTGATCTTAAAAGGTGTATATGATAATTTGGGATAAATAGCTTTTATCTCGGAAACATTCAAAATGGGTATGCTTCTCAACACACGCCTTACAATTTGAACAGCCATCATGAAGGATAAGGTGCCCTTTGTCACCCTTGTCACTGAAGTGACATTCATCGCAGTGCCAGGCCATGAGATGACAACGCAACCGTGATCATTCTTATAAACTGCGTGTCTGATTTAAAAGGTCTTCTCCACCCGACTTGCGGCTGGCAGTTTTACCAGCATTAATGAATCTGGTAACCTCAGGTCACCACAACGACATGGAGCCGTGTGAATAGCCATGGGAGGGTATTGCCATCTCCACCTCCCATCTCAGTCATACCTGGTCCGACAACGCATTCCCATACGGCCCGCATCATGGGCTGTCATCCATCGTCATGAGACTCGTGATCTCAGACAGGTAATTCTGATGACCTTCAAATCACGAAGCATTCCGACTGGCAGAACACGATTTCATCAGCTATGCTAGATCTGACGACCTCAGGTCACCCAGCCAGGCTCAGCAGCAAATCATGTCACCAACGCATCGTTTCGATTGCACAGGCGTCTGCTGGCGGCGCGTCTCGGCCGTTGCGGTCAGGTCACGACTGGCCCCGTTAGCAGCTGTTCGGCAGCGACCCGTCTCGGTATGAGCTGTCCAGCGGTCTCTGGAAGTCATCTCGTCCTCGCAGCACGTGGCTACCATTCTTCCGCGCGAGGAAGTCGCACGCTGCGCGCTTTCCACGAATTCGTCTCGCGGCTCCAGAAGCAATGCCATGCTCTTTGGGCGAACGCCTGCGGCTCCATACGAAGTTGTTATGGCTCAGCACACGCTGGCCTTGCGTCTGTGGGTGTGGCATTGGAATGCGGTGTTCTCTGCAATCCGGCTTCAGATCAGATCCGCTCCAGGTTTTCCTTCTCTTTCCTTCAGATCAGGAGAAATCTCTTCAGCTCATCGCTTCAGATCAGTTCGGGAGCAGGTCTGGAGCTTTTCTTCACAGCGACAACAGCAGAGGAAGCACTACTTTCAGCGACCACACAAATGACCAGTGGCGTATTGTGTCGCACCAGAACCCTCAGTTGAACATGACCAGGTTGTGGATTTGATGGAGACGTGACAAAGGGCTGAAATCATAATGATAGCGAAGAAGTTTGAAAAGCCAGTGCTAGCCCGATAATCAGTTACTGGCTTATTTCCATGTCTGAACTGGTAGGACGCCGGATATCTGGTTACCGCGTCAGCTTTGTGAGTTTGCATGCTGGGTACTGCTCATGTGTGACCTGCCAACGGCGATCAATTAAAAAATTGCCAAGGAGGTCGCCCGGTGTGCAGCGGTTGTGCTGTGACGTCACTTAGCAGTTCAAATTTCCGGCGTAAATTGTCTATTAAATTTGGCTGATGTCTTGACATGTTGGGGCTACAACGTCTTTGCGCCCAAAATGCTACGCTTGGTAATTCTAAAGGCTTTCCGCTAAAAAATCCGTCAAATTCATAACAAAACATTACTTAGAATTGAACACAAACTTCTCGGGTGCTGTTCGCATGCTCGCTCCCCACAGGCAGGGTATCTGAGACATAGTCCAAGGCAGTCCCAATTTGTCAGCCTTTGCGTTCCCTGTTCGAATCATTTCCAACGGTCCCCTCATAGCCGATCATATAGCGAAACTGTTCCAATATTCTACTCGCGCACCACCATTCTAGTGCAGCATGGACAGCCTTATGTATTTTGAGTCCAGAATCATGCGTCTATTCTTATGCGGCAAATACCGTCGCTGATTGTATTTTACATCACCCATCGTCTTAAAAAGATAAGCAAAGGTAAAACGCCATCGAAGAGCAAAAAAATCCAACATACAGCCATGTAATTGTGGATACTGCCGTTGCTAGATGACTGGTTTTGCTTGATGTCACAATCATTTATTATTTGATGTGATTGCTTGCGTTAAAAAGATGTTGAAAATAAAAAAATTGCTGATTTCAAACCGTGGACTTTACTGAAAGAATTAAACCTTCTCTATATTTGTGTCAATAAATGTGAAGGTGGGTGTGCAACAGCTTATATATGGGTGTGTTCCTACTACGCACGAGCATTAAGTTAATGGGCACCGATAGAAAATTACAGCCCAAGACTAAGACACTAAATCATGAACATGAAACAGACGAAGTTCATATTTTGCAACAAACGTGGTCATATTGCACTCAGGTCGATTACGTGTGCAGCAACATGTTCACCGCAAAATACCTTTTTGTGAGGATTTATTCAATATAGACCACAACAAGTTGCGAGTGCTCTTAAGCCTTTAAATGCTCGTGCCATAATTTGTGTCTTTCAGTTCTCAACCACTTATTGTGCTGTCAGTTAAGTGTTATATGTTAGCGCACTACGGTTTGCATTCCATGCTAAGCTCCTACCTCTCTCGACGTCTGTCTAATCACTGAAATGGTCTTCATTCGCGTGAGAACCGGAGATACAAGAGAGACTATCGTAAATGCCAATTGCGATACCAGGCTAGTTTTGGAATTTATCAAGGCCAGACTGAATCTGGTCGGTATGAAAGAAGAATTGGACTTATGCGATGAGTGGGGAAATATGCGTTTTCTACCGAGAATGCCCCCTAACTTTAACTGTCTAGAGATTCTCACCCCGAGAGCAGTATACTTTCCCGTCCTCATCACAACGGAACCGGATGTCCAGTTTGAGGTGAGATTTAGAAATATAAGGTTTCTGTACGAGTGTAGCGGCAGCTGGCAGCCGAGGCTGGGACAGCACCAGGGGCGCCGAAGCGGGCTTGGCATGGCGATGTCGAAACCAGACAGCTTAACACAATATTGTTGGTCTGTCGCGTTAAATACATTAAAAGCCAGTATCAGTGTCGGTACCAGCGAAAGTATGCGGCCGTTCTCAGGCTGATTCTACGGAACCGTAAATTTACGCTTGTAAACGGTGCTGATGCTCAGGTTTGACAAAATATCATTTATTTTGCAAGGTTACAATCGTAAAGAATGCATTGATTGCACCAATCTGTATGACGTCAAAAAAGCTCGAGTGTATCCGTTCAGATCTTTCCTTGTTGAATTCCGCGCTTGAAAAAGGCATATTTCGTTCATACCTATCAGATCGTTTACGCGTTCATCGTTTATCGTTTGCTTACCACATATCGTTCATCGTTCATCGTGAATGTACACATATATATACACCAGAGCTGAGTAACCACCAGCACCACTAAGCCACACTGCTCGTCTGTCGGCAGTTCCTTGTGCGCCCCCCGCACATCCACATGTCGGAAAAGCTGACAAGTGACCCCTACCGCAAGCAGAAACGCCACTGGCACAAATT